CTACTTAATTTCTCATAGAAAGTTTGACATTCTGAACAGAACAATAATACAAGACATCTCTGATTTCTAATTCAGTTTTGAAGCATTTCAAGTCTTCGTGTATTTTAACACCAAATTAAACCGCAAAAATGCTACCAAATTTTTTTGATTACAATCAAAAGAATTCAGAACAGTCACAACAAAATCAGATAAACTCTGAAGTTGTAATTTCACGAAAGGAATTTCCATCAAGGCAGAAAATTATCTTGACCACAAGCAAATACATTTCAAAGTTTTACTAAGTCAATTATTTTTGATTTCTTAAAAGAAACTCAAATATTTGGAACTCAAATAAATGATTTATTAAAATGTTAAAACACCAGGCTTACGTGATTACATTAGCTTCCCATCTTCCCATCAACATCATCATTTCATACAATTGAAAGTATCTTATGCTTTATGAGAAAAATGATGCGTTGAGAAGAATGAAAACATTCCACAATCTCGTCGAAAAGGAGAGAAGAATTGAAACCGCAAAAACCAATCGATTGCAATATTTCTCCTTTGTGATCCAATTTGAGGTGCCTTTTGTGTCTCCTTTTGTTTTACTTGTTTTGGGAAACTTCAGATTCCTCGTTCCCATCAATCATTTAAATGAAGTTGCTATGTTGATTTCTCGGTGTTTTCTTCTTGATTGACATTTGTAATGAGTAAGCATTTGTAGCTGAATGTTGATTTTTAACAGCGAAATTATTTGGTTGTAAAAATTTCTCACTTCAGAAAGTTTATTTAAAATTATTCAGTGGATTTATCATACTGGTGAAAAAGTTGCTAATAATATTCTTTAAAAAGATGGCAAAACTTAAATGCAATGGAAATCGAAACGATTATTTGCTTGGAATCTAAGATTTTGACAATTTTAGTAAAACCACGTGTTTCTGAAATATTGAAAATTTCAAATTTCAAATTTAACAGAATATTAATGAAATTTTTTAAATGAACAAATGACTTCAAACCTAATAAATGCTAATTTAATAATTGTGAGCAGACATTTCGAAAAATCTCTTCAAATTTCAATCAAAAGACTAGAAACACTCGTGAAACAATTTCCATTAAAAATCTATAGAAATCCTCCATTATTCTATTTGTAAAAATAACTAAAGCGTACCTTTAACGTTGTTTAACATGATCGTATTGTGTATAATTTTATTGCTTCAATATGAACTCATAAACATCATCAGAGAAACCCGCGAGTAAATCACACCTTTAGATTTACATACAACCTTGTATTTTACATCATATTGTATTCTGAAGAAATATTATTATTTTATAAATTAACCGTGAGATATAAAAAAATATTCAAAAGAAAGCTTTGAAGAGGAAAAGCTTGTTCTTGTCCCTTTATCTCACGTCATTAAGTATATGAATGCCCCACAGTATGTTCATTTTTAATATTATTGTATTGTATACATTTTCATTTTTTATTCTATTTATGGAAGTCATAGCACATATAGGAGATAACAACATTGAGTGTAATAAACAACAATAACAATATGCCTAGGCATCAACTTACTGCTGATGGATTCCACAGCACGCCATGACGATGATGGGACGTGCAATTGTTGAAGGTTGTAAAGAAAGTAGAAGGCAACATTATGAGATTAAAATGCCTATTTACATAGATAATTTGATTTTTACCGTGATTTTATGAAGTTAAGTATGCTTCGTTTTCATTTTGTCTATATAAAGAAGTAAAGCGCTCAATTTCCTTAGAAAATAGAGGTCGATTTAAATAAATTGTATTGATTTTAAGTTCTTGCCTCTTTTTTCTGAATAATTAAACAAAAAGAACATCGATCTAAGTTACTCTCACTCTTTAATTCACGAAATATTTTTCCAAGTGGATTAAACCGCCATTTTGAAAAAAAAATCAGTAAGTTTCAATTTTAAAAAACCGGTAAATTAATAAATTTTGTGCTTTTCCAAACAACACCCTTAAAAATGACTCACAAACTCGCCTTTCTTCATTTTCGCCTCTTAAAAACCGAACAGAGCGACTATAAATATTTCATTGTTGATTGGTTTCGGTTGGAAGCATCAGCTGCGATGAAAATTGTTTTCTATCATCGTCATCATATAGAGTGAGCGCGAAAAAATTGATCAATAAGAGATTATGATTTTCATTCCTTCTTACAATAATTTCACGGCATGAGAGGAAAAGAAAGATGAAAGAGATTGTAAATTGAAAAAAAAATGTCGATTTGCGAATACAGAGAGGTGTCATTGCTTTGTATTTACAGCTCGCAAAACGATAAAAAATGATTATCGACTCATGACACTTTTTTCTGATGCTTGTAATAATATTCAATATTATAAAATTGAAAAAATAAGCGGAATCGTTTGAAATAATATTGATTATGCGGCACGGTTAAATGTGTTGGCGAGGAATTGCTTTCAAGATTTATTGTTGACGGTGCTCAAGTATGCTTAAAGTTCTTCAACAGTGTTGATGCTGTTTTGCAAAAATCGATTATCGAAAAAAAATGTGAAATCATGAAAATGAGAAGAAAAATTCCGCCGATGGTTTATCAAAGCATAATCATCACGTTTTGATCTTTACTGGTTTACAAAAAATAAATTTAAAGAGGATGGAACAAGATTGAATGATAATTGAACATTGAACTACTAAAGGCATTTTTGTGATGCACTTTTAATGTGTTTGATGAATTTAAGTTTTGAGATAAAATTCCTAACAGATAAAGATCATGTTCAGCATAATAACTAGGACTTCATAAAATATAGTAAAAATCTTAGGAATTATTTAACATTAGATGTTCAACACATAAATCTGATAACATTTTTTTAAGTTTACAAGAATCTAGTCCATTTTTGCAAGAATCCAGTCCATTTTTACAAGAAGCTAGTCCACTTTAGCAAGAATCTAGTTTATTTTTAACAAGAATCTTGTCCATTTTCCAGCAATCTTGTCCACTTTTACAGGAATCTAGTCGACCTTTGCAAGAAGCTAGTCATTTTTACAAAAATCTAGTCCACTTTTGCAAGAATCTAGTTCACTTTAACAAGAATCTCGTACATCTTTGCAAGAATCTAGTCCATTTTACAAAAATCTAGTCTATTATTAAAGAAAACTATTCCACTATTACAAGAATCTCAAGAATCCTATTACAGAAATATAATCAAAAATCTAGCAACATCTAGTCTACAAATAAATACATTCAAAAATCCAGTATAAATTAAAGATTTAAATCTAGATTCAATTCAAACCAACTTCTCATTCCTAAAATCCTTCCTTAATTACATCCTATTCACCAGACAATATTTAATAAACATAAAAAGATAAAAATCAAACAAATTATTAAATCTAAAATTACACATGTCAAACACATTTTTTTCTAACTGTCTCAATGTTCACAATCATTAAATTCAATTAACGTGCCGAAATGTCTATTCATGGACATCACACGAAACTGCACTTCAAAATAAAAAAAAATTGAAATTTTTCAGATTTTTATCAAACTAAAGTGATACAAAACGGAATCATTTTTTGTGTTGCCATTTTTTTAGCTGTAATTGTCAGTGTCATGACACGAAGCACATAGAGTGGAAGAGAAAATATTCAATTTGCAACACGTAACACAATAAATATAATTACAGATTAATGTTATAAAGTTAAAAAGCAGGTTGAGTGATAATGTTTAATGATATAGTTTTAAAGACTGAATTTCATTTATTAAGGACTTATAATTGTCTGTCAAAAGTGCATGCCAGATAATTTTTTTTTTTTTGAGTATTTTAATTGTAAAGAAATTTCAAAATGTGTCTTGATTTACTGATCATTTGAAGGTTTTGTGTCAGGAATTGTCAGTGGAAGTACTTGTAATATTCATGCAATGATAATAAAGTTATAGCTTCAAAATTAATAGGTTTGTCACAAATATTTAAGTGTTGGAACATTTCTAATCGTTTAATTAAGTACTGGTCAATAACCAATTAAGCTCGTTTGCTAGTGACGTCAATTTCAATCATTTTGACCATCATTTCATTCAAGGAACAAAGATTCGCTTTCCTAAGACTGTACGAATTGTAAACCTAAAAGGGTGAGAACATTTAGGGCTGTTCATAAATAACGTCCGATATTTAAGGGGGGGGGGGGGGGGTCTGGGATTTTGTAACAATTTATAAAAAAGTATAATTATTGCAAAAGTTTTGTGACAGAAAGGGATATGGGATCTACACATGACATACACCATTAGTGAACAGCCCTTAAGAAAATGACCACTAAAGTTCAACAAAATAAAATTGTACAAAAATTCACCAAAAAATATAATCTCCTGCATTGTCCGGGAATCGAACCCGGGTCGTCCGCGTGGCAGGCGAACATTCTACCACTGAACCAACAATGCGTTGCTGGATATAGTTTACTTTTTATATTTTGACATATTTATCACAAATTAGCCGAACTTACTAGAAATTAAACTGTAAGAATGGAAATTTAATGTGATTAATTTTCATGAATTTGACATCTGAGCAATGAAGTTCGCTGATTAAAAAAATGTAAAGATAAAAAATGCGTGAGCATATTTGAACAAACTGAAAATGGAACATCAACATGTGGAACAGATAGAAATTCCCAAGGTTTTAGGAAGTATTTAAAGCAAACTGATGAAACTTCATCAAAAACAACCAAATCTTTACAAAATTTTCTAAATACACAACTAAGGCTTAATAAACCAATTTAAGACTAATGATGAAAAGAAAATTCAAGCTAGAACAACAAAGTATGTTTTCTGGATGGCGCATCCTCATCCATCAAATGCATTGTTGGTTCAGTGGTAGAATGTTCGCCTGCCACGCGGACGACCCGGGTTCGATTCCCGGACAATGCAGGAAGTTCACTTTTTTGCCACTCTTGATTTTTTTTGCAAAATTCTACACTAGTGACTAAGATCATTAATGACTGGTTTAGATCAGATTAAAATACATTTAGATTATTTTAAAAATTAGAGAACTTTAACATTTTTATTTTCAATATAATTCTTGAGTATCGGTCTATAGGCACTAATTGTCATGATCCAAAATACAATTTGAACAACTAAAAGAACAAACAGAACAGAAATGACAGCATCGTCACTATTAAAGAACTGAGAACTTTGCTTATATTTCCTCGTGAATGGATGATCATAAACGACTGTAGAGTTGTAAGCATCAGCATCATAAAATGCTTGCATGTAAGTCAAAATTGGGATGTGAGAATAAGTTTTGAAGTATCCAGGAGTTGTAAATGGCTGAATGATTCCTAAAATATTCCAGACTATTGTGATTGGTGTGAACCAAAAGTATGGCCAGATTGTCTTGTTGGTCTGAAAATAGAATTAAGACTGTGATTAATTTTTTCACGAAAAATTTCCGACGAAATACGATTTTTCAAAACTTAAAGGTTCGAATCCATAAAAATTAATTTTTCTTTGAGCTTATTTTCAGTCGATATTCCACAAGAGAAGTGAGAAGTGCGAAAAGTTTTTAAAGTCAAGGAATTGAACTCAACGAAAATGTTCATTTGACAATTAAAAAATATTGAAAGTTTTAAAATTAACAGACAAAAGTTTATAAGGATTCTGAGCAATTGATTTGACCTGAATGTTGTTACTGCTGGAAAATTCTTTATCTCTCATGTCTTAAAAGTTTTTAAACTATGTGATTGATTCTCAAATTTGATTATCAGTGAACAGTGATCATCATTTTGTGATTTTTGCTGGTTTGTGGATATAAAAGTTTCCATAAAGCACGAATCAATCTTGACAATAGAAAATAACATTACTTCTTGCTATTAGGATCGATATAATCTAGTCCTCTATCATAAAACTCTACAAACATCCCATTTCAATTTCCTCAAGTGCAAATCAGTGCAACAACATCAATTTCTATTCTCAAATACTCGCAACTCCAAAAATAACTCGACACAGTTTAGTCTAAAATTACAATTCATTCATCGTTTTCTTACCGGCACTTCTGTGTACAGGAACAGGTTGCAAGAGAAAATGTTGAACAAAGTCCCAATAAAAATCGTCGAGATCATCTTAAATGACAAAGAATATTGACAAATAGGCTATAAAATCTAGATAAATAGCTATACATACATAAAGTAGATAGTAAAAGTCAGTGATCAACCAAAAACGAACAAGCATGAACAGTCCACAAAGGAGATACACGATCGACAATATAAATCCTAAGACACTTAAAATAAACCTTAGAAAGGCATTCCAGTCACTTTTAATTGGTTCCTTTAACTCCTCCATTTTAGCACCTTTAATTAAATGTAACTAATTTTCTATACAGCACCGACAAAAGCTGTGGAAAGAGAAATTAGCTGAGAAAAACAAATCAAAAGAAGAGAAAATTTTCCACTCAATTTTATTTTTAAGTTTTTTTGATACTTTTTATTGCATCAGATTCATGCAGACATAAATTTTATGTGACGGACGGTTATACGCGCGTGGTAGATAAAGAGTTTTAAAAATAGATTGGCTTTTCGGTAAACAACCGATACATGTAATATCAGATAATAAGAAAAGAATATTCGAGAAATATAAAAATATGAAATCATGATCTTACAGCATGACACGAAGATTGTCAACAACATGAAGGGGTTATTGAAATTTTGACATGTATTAGCACTTGTTGATCAATTCAAAAATTCAAACTTGACTCGATAAGGTGTAAATTATGCAGTATTTAAGCTTAAGAACAGTACAAAATTTTCTAGTTGGCTGTATCCTGATTAAGAGATCATTCTCTGGTGGGAATTGAACCCACGTACTCACAATAGAGGGTTACAGATATCTTATATGTTTCCTAACCGCTCAGGCATAAAAGAACTACTTTCACATTGGCAGATTCGCCTATGTATAGCTTAGATCAGGGTTGCGATACAGGCACCTGTGCACAGGTGAGAACCGTACAATTCCTTGATAATTTATAAGGTTTTTCTGACAAAACCATACAAATTCTTCTTCTTCTTCTTCTTAATTAACTTTATTATGGTCCATCAGCTTATTGCTATTTAAAGACCGTTCACAATTCCAGGTAGTTCAATTTACAAATATACACAAAGAAAAATCAAATTTTTGTTATGTCTCGATTGTGATCTGTAATTAATATGTTCTGCTGTATTCCGAGATGCTCGATTCCTGTTTGTCTATGATGATTTGTTGAAATCCAGTCAGCACCAATTGATTGATAGAACTTGCCCGCGATATATGGGGAAACACACAAAACCCATCGCGAGACAAATTCTCCTCACAATTGACGATAATCCGTTTCCAACAAAATTCAATGTCTAGGTTATGGTTATGATAGAACCTTCTTGTCCACGATTGTTGGTAAAACATAAAAAACCCACGTGAAACAATTGATTCTCCTCACAACTGCCGCCGATCTTAATTTGTCAATGTAATTAAATGTTCTTTGGTATTCCGATGATGATCAATTCCGTTTTATATTTTGTATTGGTTATGTGCAAAAATTTGCACCTTTTTTGTTCAATTCAAAAGTTTCTCCAAATTTAACTAAATCGCGACTTTTTTGAGTTTTCTCCTTTGTTAATCTGTTCCTTAGTTATTTGTATGCACTTTAAACTATATTTGCTGTCTGGTTCCTACGCGTAAATAATTAAATTATGGATAATTGACAATTCCACAACCTCGTTGTTCGGAGGTCGGGAGAAAAACTCACCATACAAATTCTTCTTCTTCTTAATTAACTTTATTATGGTCCATCAGCTTATTGCTATTTAAAGACCGTTCACAATTCCAGGTAGTTTAATTTACAAATATACATAAAGAACAATCAATAAAATCTAGTCAATTCCAAATGGTTGACAGAAAACATGCCCGCGATAAGTCAAAACAACAAAAAACCATCGCTAGACAAAAAATACCATCTTCAGTTGTCGATGGTCCAGATCTCTTGACAGTCCTTCTTGTAATTCAACTTGTGATATTCCAAATAGATTCAAATTTTTGTTATGTCTCGATTGTGATCTGTCAATGTAATTAATATGTTCTGCTGTATTCCGAGAAGATCGATTCCTGTTTGTCAATGTTGATTTGTTGAAATCCAGTCAGCACCAATTTATTGATAGAACTTGCCCGCGATATATGGGGAAACACACAAAACCCATCGCGAGACAAATTCTCCTCACAATTGACGATAATCCGTTGTATTCCAATAATATTCAATATGTCTAGGTTATGGTTATGATAGAACCTTCTTGTCCACGATTGCTAGTAAAACACAAAAAACCCACGTGAAACAATTGATTCTCCTCACAACTGCCGCCGATCGTGATTTGTCAATGTAATTAAATGTTCTTTGGTATTCCGATGATGATCAATTCCGTTTTATCTAGATTATGTGCAAAATTTGCACATTTTTTTCCAATTTCAATTTATATCCAAAATTTAATTAAATCGCGACTTTGCTGAGTTTTCTCCTTAGCATCTTTGTTCTTTGTTACTTTGAAGACAGTTCCCGCAGGTTTGTGACTTATTCCTACGCGTAATTAATTAATTTTGGAGTATTACACAATTCCACAACCTCCTCATTCGGAGGTTGGGAGAAAAACTACCCTCACAAATTATCAAGGAAATATACGGTTCTCACCTGTGCACAAGTGCCTATATCACAAATCTGGCTCAGACACAGACATAGGTTCCACTCAGCTTGATACTACAGGTGAAAAGAGTCTGAATTCTCAAAAACAAAATTCCAATTTCTGTTTTGGAATAGCAAAATTTAGACTCTCTTTGACACCATCGCAAATCACTGGAATTCCCTAAGTATGTTTAATCTAATCATCATTATTAGCTTTGCATTCGTATACTGAAAAATCACTAAAGCATGTCTCTCCCAAGCTGTCACAATAATCTAAATACATCACCCATAACAAAAAGCCGGCATTTTCAACGTGTTTGTAGCCGATGAAAGTTGATAACGAAATGTAAACAAAAACACATTCCTTTTCAAAGTCATGACTTGTTATGAAACGAGAATAAGCAAATACAGAGCAATACTAATAAACATGTGCAACACATAGCTGATATGTGAGGTAACCATTTCTCATGGAAGAGCTTTTATTGAATATTTGGTATAGATTTGCTAGATTTATAAATACATTAATGATAAATGCAGTGCTGCAGATCTCAATTCTTAGACTCACTTCAAGTCATATTGCTCAATAGTTGAGTATTTATCCACTGCTTATTACGGTAATACTTCCAAAAACATCAAAGTGACAAACAATAAAATCAGTACAAGCTAATAAATGACATGACAGCCCTCAGACTGTCCAAAAAAGCAGTGATAACAAAAACGACATAAATTATAATAAGTTATGGACATTCTAAGTTTGTACTGCATATAAATCGCTCTTCACTTCTACTATATATTTATTAATATTAAAAGTACGCATGCTGAATGCTGTCTTATTCATTTTTAATAACGGTTCTGAGACATTTTCCTTCCTTCATCATGTCAAATCCTTCATTGACTTGTTCAAGCTTGATTCTGTGTGTGATGAACTTGTCAAGTGGCAATTTTCCATCGAGATACTTTTCAACCAATAAAGGAACCTCATCGACGCCTTTAAATGATCCAAACAGTTCGCCAGTCAATTTCTTACCCAACAAGAAGTGAATGGGAAGAATATTCAGTTCCATTTCTTGTGGTGGAACTCCGATTAAAACACAAACGCCATTGCCAATTGCTGCACATTCCAAAGACTGTTTAACAGTGTACATGTTACCGATGCACTCAAATGTGTAGTCAACACATCCGAATTTATCGTTCAAGTACTTGTCCATTGGACCTTCAACCTCTTTTGGATTAATAAAGTCAGTGACTCCCATTTCAGCAGCAATTTCACGTTTGGCATCATTTAAGTCAATACCGATGACAGTTTTTGCTCCACGATGTTTACATCCAAGTACAGTGGCAAGTCCAATTCCTCCTAAACCCCAAACAGCACAGACTGAATCTGGCTTGACTGCTGCTGTCTTAACTGAACCACCATAGCCTGAAATGTAAGTTATTGGTAATATTATAAATGGTAAGCCTTCAAGTGACACAAACCTGTTGGGAATCCACAACTCAATAAGCAAGCAATATCCAATGGTGCAGCTGGATTGATTTTAGTCAAATTGAATTCCTTCAAGACTGTATATTCAGAGAATGACGAAACACCCAAGAATTGTAAAAGTTGCTTTCCCTTGCATGTGATTCTCGTGGTCTCATCAGCCATCAATTGACGTGACTGAGATCCGCTTGTGAATTCCAGACAAGTATTGGAATCATCGAGTTTGCAGACTCGGCATTTTTTGCATTGAGGCAAGAAAAGTGTAATAACATGATCACCTTCTTTAACTGTCGTGACTCCCTCGCCAACTGACTCGACAATTCCTGCTGCTTCATGTCCAAGAACGACTGGGAAATGGACATCGAGGATCTTTCCACGGGATGCAGAGATGTCAGTGAAGCACTAGAAATATTAAGAAGAATAACAATGATAGCATCTTTGACATTAAAATAATCTTGAAATTCGTAAAGGTCGACTCAGTATTGGAAGGGAATTAAAACGCATTTTTAAACAGAAGTAATTTTTATCTGATTTAAAGGTTTCGGAATCAATTAATAGAAGATTCATTTGGGGCCGTTCACTTATGACGTCCGACATTTAGGGGGGGGGAGGGGGGGGGTCTAGGATTTTGTGACAGTTCAAACAATGGAAATTTTTTTCTATAGAATTTTTGTGACAGAGAGGAGGGGGGAGGGGGGGGGTTAAAAATCAGGTTTTTTGATGGACGTCATAAGTGAACGACCCCTTTGGAAATTTAGCGATAATAGTAAAATTTAAAATTTAACGGTAGAGAAATATTTGAAAATTTAACGGTAGTACAGCATTTGAAAATTGCTGTATTGTATATTTAAAAATTTTATGACTGTTATTTTTTTAAATTCTTAAAAAATTATGCTTGGACAAAGTGTAGACACAAAATCCTTCTAGAACTGCCTAGCGATGTTAAAAAACAAAATATTGCGTTCTTGATTCTGCGCAGTTCCGTGGAGCTGCAGCAAATATTTTCGGTATAAGAAGAAAGAAATTAAAAACTCAAAAATAAACTTTTTTAACTGAACATTAATGATTCACAGCTAGTTCCAGTTATTTCTAAAAACCAGACAAATATCGAAATAACATTCAAAAATAATTTACAGCACTTCTGTCATAATTTTCACAATAACACTTGTAATGACCTAAATGACCTCACAAAAATTATAAATTATTAATTAAACTTACAACTCCAGTCGCCATAATCTTTACACGAACTTCTCCAGCTTTTGGTGGTGCAACTTCAACATCTTCCATAACCAAGGGCTCATTAGCACCCCAGGAAACAGCTGCACGACATTTAATAACTTCACCTGCGCTCATAATGATTGTTAGCCGATCAAGTACAAATATAAACTGAGAAGTGAAGTCTAGAAAATGTAATATTTATTTTAGTCTGCTTCTTACTCCACATTTTTTCAAACTGAGAGAGAATGATGATAATAAAAAAAAATGGTTTTTGGAAGTACGTGAATGTACGAAAAGTCTCTCACACGTGCGTCGGCTTTCGCCGTTTTTTTGTGCATTTACTCTCGAATTCTCTCAATATTTTTTGGATAAAAACAAACTGAAGACAGTGAGCGTGGACATATTATGAGTATGACTTTGATTATGACCTTTACAGACAACAACATATGACATCATAAATGAAGACTTTCAATTCATTTTAATTGATAAGATTTAAATTAAGAAGCAATGAATGAAAACCTGTTCAACAGCTTTTAAGTGTAAATAGCACTCTAACGCTCGGTCATTGACTCAAACCTTCATATTGTCTACTCAATTAATGAAATCTAGTTCAACTGGATCTTTCTAGTCCAATGGATCTTTTTATAAATTAACTGGAATTCTTTAAATTGACTGATTCAATTGAGTTAGTAACAGAATCTCCTTTACAGACACTTGTGTAACTGATTATAGTCACGAGATTCATAAATGACCTAGATTTAATTAATTCTACAGCAACTACCTTAATTCCTTTAAAATATAATAAAAACATGAACGTTTGGTGTCTGTAGCAATTGTTGTCATGTAAACATTCAGCACAAGCAACATATTAGCAGATTCTTTACTTATAGATGACTTTTTATTAACTTTTTCTATTAATACCTACGAATTTAAAAACAAAAATATTTATGAGTTCTTTTACATCTTGAGAAGCTCGTGCTGGGTTTAAATGAGTCTGTTGCATGTAAAGAATTAAATGATCTTGTTGTGGCTTATCTAAAAGCTAATATTATGTTATAATTAATTTTTTGCTCCAGTTTAAGAATAATTTTGTAATTAATAAGCATGTGACTGTTGATAAGTATACAAATGTCATTAAAAATAGATAGTAGACTAATGGCTAATATATTTTGAGACTCACCATAAAGTCTTTTTAATTGTTTATTAAGTAAATTTCAATTTAATAGTCCCTACCTTCTCGAGCAAGTTTTAACTTAACTAAACTGAAATTTAAGCAGTAAGTTACTAATCGACAGAGTTCCAGTCAGATTAAGCATCTATTCTTAACTTTTTTCCGTTATAAATATTTTTGAAAAAGCAATGCAGCGAATTCAATTTTCAAAAAAATGCAAACCGTTCCCATTTTAAAATTAGAAAAAACGTTTAAATCTATCTGAAAAATCAAATAAAATGATATTAAGTGAAAGCGTGTGTCACCACGCGCTACTCATCAGTCTCAATTGTAATTTTTCTTTATTTGAGAGACTTGCACATCACCGAAAAACAAATAAAGACAATACTAATAAAAATGTTTGACTTGTATTGAAACTTATGCCACTTTCTTGATTGTTAATTTGATTAACACGATTATGAGTGCTATTTCAAAGCTTTTGTTGAATTATACCTCATAATATATAAATGAATCTTTAGGCTGTAATCAGGGGTGTAGCCGGGGGGGGGGGCGGGCCCCGCCTACGAAAATCTGATAATTGTTTTATTAAGTATTTATAGAGAAGAACCAGTAAATGTAGAGGAAGTGATGAAAGAAATGTCAAAATCAGCACGAAAAATTAAATTTAATGTATGAATAGGGGCCCGTCAAAAATGAATTCTACGTCTTCGGAGACAACTTTTAGTCATTTTTTGTGATTTTTTTTTCGGAAAAGGGTATTTTGAGTGTAAACAACCTTTAATAACTTCTATATTCCCATTTTAAATTTTAGTTTTTCTGTACCAAACTGTGCTATTTCTTCTATTTGTTTATTCAAATTATCATTTTTATCAATAAAATGGTTGGAAGTTACTTAAATTAACACTTTAAGTTTCAAAATCTTGTAAAGGATATCATTTTTTTAAATTTTCTTGTATGTTTTGAGTCAACAAAAAAAAATTATTTTTTCGAAAATTGCTGAAAACATAATTAAAACGTAATACAACTCATATTCAAATGTCGATAGTATGTTTCTAAGGTTCTATTTTGTGTTTTAAAAGAGTTAAAGTTACAAATTCACGAATATTAATTAGATTTTCAGCTGATTAAAGTTTTGGTAATTTTGCTCGAAAATATGAGAAATTTTTGAATTTTATTAAACCGTTAAACTGAAATTCCTATTATTTTTGACGGGCCCCAATAATAAATTAAAGATTTAAACTTATGAAGAATGAATATAGATTTAAGGATACAAAATAACGCAATTTTGCAATTTTTATGCAATTTTTATGAAATTTTGTTCAAGAAATTTTAAAATAGCGATATCTTTAATCTTTGAGCTGATCGATCCTTACATAACAATTCATACGTCTTTTAAAGTAAATTATATGCTAAACTCAGAATAAGAAAGTCTTATAACATAAATCAACACATCGATCATAATTAAAATAAGATTGAACTACTTTTAAGCAAAAATCAACTTTTTGGAACTTTTAATCTAATTTAAAATATTTTAATCGCATTAATTAGAAATGTTTATTGATTAATCGTGATTATGCATGAATAAAATTGAAGTTATTAACTGATCATCTTCACAATTCCAATTTATTTTCCTAATTTAAATCATAAACTTCTACAAAAAAAAATTAATCAAAGATTGTCTAATTCGTCAAGTATGTCAAACTATAAAGATTAAACTATATCCAGCAACGCATTGTTGGTTCAGTGGTAGAATGTTCGCCTGCCACGCGGACGACCCGGGTTCGATTCCCGGACAATGCAGGAAATTACTTTTTTGCTAGTTGATTGTTTGACTCTTTTTGCCAAATTCTACCGTTATACTAATCAGTAGCTATATACTGCAATACTTACTAGGCTACTAGTTGACACGAAAATTTTATTAATTTATAGAACTGACTTTACAAAAATTTTAAGACATTACTTCACATCTACTTATAAACTACAGTATGGGCAGATTTGGCTGGAAGATCCAATCGCAATGCACCATGATCGTGGTCGAAAATGTTGACATGAAGATAATGTTCAGCCCTTTAATGAAAAATTACTAAGCACACCAAATCAATAAAACATCAATTAAACTTACATGTTATATAAAATGACGACAGTATATCCATCAGGTCTTAAGAATGAAACTGACTTGACATATTTGTTTGATGATTTGGATTTGATTCTGACTGATCCTTCAGGAACAAATCTTGAGAAATGTCCTAAGCCATAGAATATTGGCTGTTTATACAATTCACTTCCAGTTTGAACGATCGCGGCATCAACGTAATTATTTGCATAGTTGGGACCTCCACTTTCATCGAGTACTAAGTTCCAATCAACCCAAGCACTTACATAATGATTAAAATCTTCAATAATATCCAAAAAGTAGTCTTCAAATCTATTCCAAGATCCTAGCTCAGGTTTGTGTAGATCCCATGGACGGTCACCAGAACTAGCTTCACTTGCAATAATAAATTTATTTGGAAACTGTTCTGCAGTTTGATCTAAATAGTCAGCTGATGTGACCTTATCAGCATACCAATGAACAGCAACTCCATCAAGAAATTCTGTTGAATTTGGACTTCCTTTATACATTTGTTCAAACCAACCAGGAAGAGTGTATCTTTGATCATCACATCCTAAAAGCTTTACATTCTTAGCTACTGGTGACATTTTCATTGCTGGTCCTAAATTGTCAGCTACCCATTTGCCTTGAAGAATTGGATCCCATCCTAAACTCATGAAATGAACAAAATATGGAAAAATTATTCCATTTAATGGCTCATTGCCTGTCGAAATTGCCCAAAACGGAAGTCCATTCTTGGCCATTAATTCCAAATATTTAACATGATAATCAGCCCATGTTTGATAATATTCATCTCTTAAAACTGAAAATCCTGTATAATCGTTATTTGACTTCATCCACTTTGGAGGCGACCAAGCAGCACCAAAAATTTTAATTTCCTGATTTTTTGTTATTTTCTTTAATTCGTTAATTTGGTGAATTTTTTCGATGTCACGATCATCAAGCTTTGTAAAATTACTCAAAAAAATGTCATGAACTGGTTCCTCATTGTAAGCCCATGGCGATAAGTCAAAGTCACATCCACCAATTGGAATTCTCATCATGTTGTAAGCAAGTCCAACTTCTTTGGAATAATATCCTTGATAGATGTGATCCTGAAGTTCTTTACTCAATTGTTTTAGATTATATGAAACGGAACCTGTAAATGCTCCTCCAAATCCAATAACGCTCTGGAATTTGTTTGATTTGTTAACCATTATGTTGACATAAGAATCGAGTGGTTCCTCAATTCCTTCAAACTTTTTCACTACTTTAATGATTTTATTCATGTATCTTGAACTTGTGTCCGAATTACCATCTCCATAATGAAATGGTCCATGAGGGATTCTCTTCATGCTCTCATTAAACCTAGCTTGTGATTCATGAAATCTCAAGCCACTCTTAGAACTTGATATTATCAGCACATCTCCAACTTTTACCGGTAATTTAAAGATCAATGTATCACAATATGTTGAATTACAGACACAAACAAGTCCTGTATTAAATGATTTCAGTACACAAGGCTTGGATGAAGCTGTGTTTGCTGTAATAATGTAAATAAATAAGCCCAAGTGCAACGTACTTAATAGATAAATTGAGTGAAAAATTACCAGACACAATTGAAATCACTAATTGAAGCAAAATTCCATAGACAAGCATTTTGATATACTTAATGCTGTTCCACAAGTGGTTGAATATAAACTGAGAGTATTGACGTTTCAATTTTTATTATTTATTCTGCCAAAAGGTCAAATTTTTAAAAATAGCGAGAATGATTGTTCCTGTAATCACGAAAATATTAAAGGAAAGGCAAATCTCTTAAATTACAATCATTTATATCTGCTTAACTAGTTTTGGATCAATGCAATTACTTGGAAATTTTAAACTCGTTTGGGATTCAATCAGTTTTTCAAACCAACAAATTTACGAAGTTTGCTGACAATCATAATTATGAATCACAAAAATCTATGTAAATTTACAAAATTCTTTATGTGTCGTATGTATTCACTCAACTGATTAACATGATTCATATTATTAAGTTTTGTTTGAAAATAATCAAAAATGAGCAATCAGCAAACAAAGTTTGAATTTTTTAAGCAATATTCTCTATTTACATTCTTTCTCATTGCTTCTCAGAAATTTTAATTTTTTCTATCTCTTGAGTGAGCTGATTAGCTATTTGAGTTTGTGGCAATCCGAAATTAATCCATTTTTATTGTAACACCGTATTCACATATCATTTTATTATTTTCAACAATTGACTTTGTTGCACGGTCGAATTCAATTTGTTTCATGTCTTGCTTATCTCGTAGATCCTTAAACGTGATGGGAAAAGAGCTTGAAGCTCCTCTGGTTAAGAATGAACAGGACTTTTGTGCCCGTCTACAACTTATGATGGACATAAGTCACTTGTGGACGGTCCAATCTCAAGATTCTGAATCCTTGTATCCTTGATTCTGAATGCAGAAAGTTACGGTCAGTTCCGAAACTTTGATAAGCTATAACTCTGTTACTTTGTGACAAATGATGTTACAAAAGATGAAATACTTCAAACTGCTTCAAACGCTCAAGAAGGAAAATATTCCTGCTCTTAAAGTGACTGAATTCAGTTGGTTCATGCTGCATTTTGACAATACAATTACTTTGGATATGCTAAATCGCTTGCATCGCAGCGTCGATGGAATAATGATCAGATAGGAAAACTTAAATAAGTCAAGTAAGGACGCAACTCAATGCCACAATTGTCAAGCATTGGGACATGCTTCGATCACTTGTGGACTTCAAGCTCAATGTGTTAAGTGCAAAGCATCACACCAAAAATGACAATGCCTGCGTCCAAAAGGACAATGTGCGAATCATCGCTGAGCAGGTCTTTTAATAGCTCTATGCTGATTCGATCAGCTCGAAATCCCAATCCATTGTGAATCGATTATTGAAAAGAAAAACGATGGACAGCAGCAAATAAAAGATATCCTTGCAGCATAAAGCAGTATCTTATTTGATCTTCTGGTTCATCTAAAACGTTCAGTGAATGCATCTTTTGGGAGTAAACTCCATCAAACTGTAAGTCAGAGCACAAATGTTTCATACATGTATGACAAGCAAGAATTTAAAATGAGGAATATTTTAGAGTATAGTAATGCAATAAGCAAAGCTTTGCTATTGATTTTCTTCGGTTAATCTGATGTAAGTTCAAGTGGAACGGCTTGTGCTCGAGTGTCAACAGTTGTTTTAAGGATGCAGGGTTCATCTATGATTTTTCTATTTCTAGAGATTAATTAAGTAAAATTAAAGCTAAATAGAGTAGAAAGTGCTTAAATTGTTTACAAATAAACAATAACAAAACAGATAAAGTCATTTAGAGCCTCGTTTCATTTTCCGTCCATTTCAATTTGCAAAAAAAATAAAGTAAAGAGAATAATTAAATTTTAAGCAATAAAGAAGCCATGGAGAGCATTAAAAACTACAAATATAAGTATGGAGAGCTTGCTAAAATTGGATTCATTGGCTCTGGAAACATGGCATTTGCGATTTGCAAAGGAATTTTAGAATCAAAGTTATTTACAGCAAATGAAATATTGATTTCTGGAAGAAGTACCACCGATTTCACTAGATGGGAGTCATTTGGAATAAAGAAGACATTAGATAACAACGAAATAGTGAATTCTTGTCCAATTGTATTCCTGTGTGTTAAACCAAATTGTTTAGAGGATGTCGGGGAAAGTTTATTGAAGAATTACGATGAAGATGCTGAAACTTACTGCGAACGGAACTTCTGTAGCACTTTAGTGTCAATTCTTGCTGGAACATCAGTTAATGCTGTCAAAAAAGCTGTTCCAATATTCAACAGCTATGTTCGAGCAATGCCAAATACTCCATTACAAGTTATGGCTGGATGTACAGCACTTACAAAACCTACTTTAGGAGTCGGAACTTATAGAAACTCGAAATTCAATGTTGATATTGATCTCCACTTTAAAGTCATTGAGACTATTTTTAGTTCCTTGGGAATTGCAGAAGTTGTTGATGAAAGCAAATTTGATGCTGTAACAGCTGTTTCTGGTAATTAGAGACATTATGTGGATCGAAACTTTATTAACAGTTGATTCTTAATTTCAGGAAGTGGACCAGCTTACGTTTACATCATGATAGATGCATTAAGTGACGCAGGAGTAAAACAAGGCTTGCCACGTGATATTGCGACAAAATTCGCTGCACAAACACTTTTTGGAGCTTCAAAGACTGTCTTAGAAAGTGGAATTCATCCAGGCGCATTAAAAGATCAAGTAACAAGCAGTGGAGGTACAACAATTTTTGCCATTCATGAGTTGGAAAAAGGAGGCATTCGAAATACTTTAATTAATGCTGTTGAAGCTGCAACATTGCGATCGAAAGAAATGTCAAACAAATAATTTAATTAATCATAAAATAAAGATTTATTTGCTGTTCTATATTCACTCATTATCTCGATCTTTCTTACTGACATACTCAACACTTCTGCTTGGATCTGTTGGAAAGAACTCCTGACATTTTGTCATCAATCGTTTTAATCCTTGAATATACTTTCGTTGGGTTTCATCGTTCAGCACGTGAGCCACATTCTTTGAGAAAATCTTTTCACGACCAGTACGAGCATGGATACCAACCATAGTTACACCAATTGGCCTAAAAAGAGTTGTATGTTAATTTTAGGCAGTTGTGAAAACATTTGAATGATTTTAAAAAATTTGAATTTATAAGGTTCTAAACTTCAAATTAAAAACATTTGTATAGTTTTAAAATCTTGGTAAGAATTTGCATGGTTTTGTAGCACAAATCACGACCAACAGTCCCATTTAAACTCATAACATCCAGTAAACTACTTACCAAGGAGCATTTCCAATAGCCATTGTCAAGTAAGCATCACTAGCTGCAATATATTCACGTTTCAATACATATTTCACAATTTCAGCAAGACTGTCAAAAATATCGTCAGGAATTTTGTCATTTTTGAGCTTCTTAAGCAGTGGCTTTAAGTAAACTCTAGTCTGTGCGAATGTTGCTTTAGCAATCTTAGTCTTTGTCTTCATTTTCTCTTCGGATGCGACACTATTCAATTGATCATTCCATTGTTTAAGTAGAAATTTAAGGAATGTCGTGATCACATTAATATCATGTTCCTTATTTCCTCTGCCAAGCCTTTCAGCTTCTTTTTGTATTGATTCGTAAGTAACTGATTCGTCTACATCAATATCCTCGTTCTTATTTTTGTCTTTGTTCGGGTCGACTGGATTATCACTAAGGATTTCCTGTAAATATGCTTGATCAACTTCTTCCATAGCTTCTTGAAAGTCGTTTCTAAATCCTCTATTAACTTCTGGTGCTGAAATTTCCAATCGTCTTAATCGATGACAGGAATCTACTTCAGATTCTGCATATAATAAGATTGGTTCTCCTCGTTCTCTTAATTTTCTTATGACTTCTGATCGTGGCAAGCTCAAAATTTCCATAGCTGAATCTCTGGATGATAAAGCATGTTCTAGATGTGAGTTACTGGATGCTTGAATTTGACTTTGTTGAGACTCTTTGGATAAGTATTTCTGGACATATTCTTCTTTTTCCTTCTCAATTAGGTCACCTCGCTTAAAGAATTTCTTGTTACCGTCCTTGAATTTACTTAATTAATCAAAATTATGAAAACTTTATGAAATATCATTTTTACATACTACTAGCTTTCTATCTTCTAAAAGTTTACGTTTGCGTGCTATTTCAGCTCTTATGATGTCCATTTTACTATAATTAAGTTGGTATTTGAGGAGATTTTATGCAAAACTGAATTTCAAAAAAGGTAAACAAAACAAAGTTTCAAAATACAATAAAGTCTTTATAAATCGACTTATCGTAAGTCTTTCAAAAGTTGTAAGTTATTAACTATTGCTTATCAATGACAAAAACGCATTTGGAGACTGAAGATTAATTAAATAGACTGATTTTTTTCAATTTTTAAGATTTTTGACTATAGCGGTTTTTTGAAATTCAAATTGTTGTAAGATCCCATGTCAATGATGATTCTTCTTAAAATTTAAAAACTTTTAATTGTAGGATTACTTTAATGCATCCAGCTTGCAAATTGCTTTCAGAACATCGCAAAATTAATCACCCATTAGAGAATAATATATTAAGTAGAAAATTCCATGACAAAGTGACAATATTCGCTCATATTGTTTAAAAACTATGTAATTTTCCTCCGGAGTTGAACTGTAAATAAACAAAGCGTGAAAAAAATTTAAGAATCATTAATTAACACGAAAATAGAGTTATGGCTGACGTTTTAGACATTGATAATGCTGAAGACTTTGAAGTCGATGATGATGGAGATCGTAAGTACATGAGATTTGCTGTAGTTTTGTCAATAAATTAAAAATAATTAATCTTTACAGAGGGAATTTTGAGATTGAAGGAAAAAGCCAAAAAGAAGAAAGGTAGAGGCTTTGGTTCAGATCCCGTCCACAGAGAACCAATGGATTATGAGAGTGTCAGAGATGATACTAATGATGAGGCGGAACCAGGTCCACAAAGATGTAAGTATCTAATTGATGTTTCAAAGATCCAGTAAATAAACTTTTATGGCATTTTCATTATAGCTGTTGAAGGATGGATTCTTTTCATCACCTCAATTCACGAGGAAGCACATGAAGATGACATTCAGGAGAAATTCTGTGAATTTGGAGACATTAAAAACATTCATTTGAATCTTGACAGACGAACTGGATTCTTAAAAGGATATGCTCTAGTCGAATATGAGACGTATAAACAAGCATTGGCAGCCAAAGAGGCAATGGATGGAGCTGAAATATTGGGACAGAAAATCAGTGTCGATTGGTGTTTCGTAAAAGGACCAAAAAGAGCAAGAAAACCAGGTGATCGTAAGAAGAAGTAATAAAGTCTGAACATCCACAACTCATTCATGTCTCTTATCATTTAAGTATGATTTTTTATTTCCATTTTAAGCAAATAAAAAATGTATAATTAATAAAATAATGAAATTACACATAAAAAAAGCCATTCTTAATCTATCCAGAGCATCCGCGACATCCACAATGCACACATTCCACAATCTTTCCTTCCTCCAGCTTCGATTTTGGAACTCTGCAAATACAATTCGTACCGAAATTTGTGTCACGTGTTTGAATGCAACGGAGACAACACAGATTCTCATATCCTGATTTCTTCCATTTAGCTATTAAAGCTGCATCTGCGATTCTTTCTTTCAGGCAATAATCATAAAGTTCTCTGGATATGATTTTTCTTCGTGCATACATGTCATAAATATATCTAGTCTTTTGATGGTGAATCTTAAAGATGGGCCAGAGTGATTCATTGATTCGTTTGCCTTCATGTGGTTCCGTTTCAGCTGTAATTGGACATGAATTTTTTGGTGATATTTTAAACGTTTTGTTTATAATTTTTATTATTCACCTTCTCTCATCTTTTGTTCCATACTTTCCAGTGTTTCTTCGATTAAATCCCATCCTTCTGGTGGTTTCTTCTTACTACGTCTTATTTTTGGCATGGTAAAATGTGTTTTAATGTAGTAAAATTAAGATTTTGTGAATTTTAGAAAGTTTGTTTATATTTTTTAAGGGGGAAATCAACTCTCTTCAAAATAATCGTGTATTTTTTCCCCTCGCTGATATTTTGAATTAATCTTGTAACGGTTTTTAATAACGGAAAGACTTGTATGAAAAAATTAATTAACAAAATACACGAAAATAACCCTCAGAATACCATCAATCTCAATAATTATGAATAAAGCTTCAATTGACTGATGATAAATTATAGATTAAATTCATTACAAAGTCCACAGGATGGTTTCACTCACTGCGCATGTCACACAATAATTGGAGAAAAATTTTCCGGCTATCAAAAAAACCTTAATTATTTATTTTTTTCAACTAAATCATTAAATAATTACACTAAAAGCTGTTCAGATTGGTAAATAATTACTTTGTCTCGTTAAAGATAATAAAATTGCTGAAGCATATCGAGGTAATTTGTCAAAATTTCAGCAAATTAATTTTCTTATGCAAAATTTTCCAAAAAGATTTTCCAACAACAAAAAAAATTGGATTTTATCAATGAAAATTTGCAAATTTTACTGTAATATTCATAGAAGTGACTTGATTGTGCCGAGTAAACATAGATTTCAACATCCCTACTTATAATATGTAATACAAAAGGCACAGAAGTAAAATTGAGAGGAAAAGTACCCTCACAGCACTCAAATAAAAGTATTTTGTGAAAAGTATTACTAAAACATCCATACAAACACAATCTCATGTACAGCTCGTCGCACAACATATGACGATCGCTCTTACATGTGCTTTAAATTGTACTCACATTCTCCATATGAATTAAACAAATTGAAATACTTTATCAGTCTTTTGAATGAATTCATTAAGATAGGACGTGTGAAAAAAAAAATAGTATCACAAGTGTATTAAGTTCTGATTCACATTCTAGTCAGAATATTACGAGTCATTTGCACAGTACTTAATCTCTCGCTGAATTATCGGAAATAATTCTGCAATTTTGTTATCAAATAAAAAATAAGCTCCGCTATTTAAATTAGGGAGCAGCATTAACTAAAGTGAAGCATATTCATGAGCAATAAAATTCAATTTGAACTAATTTAATAGAGAAAATTATTTTTGGCAGTCGGTGACTTAAAGCAATGAGTAAATTTGACACAAACCTGACAAAATCACTCGATCAGAGTACGATAAAAAATGTTGAAAGTGTGATACCCAAGAAAAGGTATGTGGAGTTAAAAATTTCTTATCTATTTTATTGCATGTCGTGCACAAGTGCTAAATAGAACTGATTAAGTGAAATGAACGTTTATAGGATTATTTATTAGACCACAATAGGATTAATAGCATTGTTTTTTAATGTGCTGTGGTTTAAAGGATATTAAAGAATGGAAAAATTGAAATAAAAACTTTTCAAAAACATTAAAATTAAGCAAAATTATTAAAAATTGAAACAAAATGTTTTTATGAAAAAAATGATAAAATTTTTTTGATTTTTAAAATCAAAAGTGAAAATTTGCAGAATAAAAAATTGAAACTGTATAGTTTTAGCTATTCAAACTGCAAAAATTACAATCTAATACAATTTGTTTTAATTTTTTGAAATTATAATATATAATAAATTTGAATTATTTTGGTTCGAAAATTCGTGATTTTTTGGTGGTTCAAACCTGTTTTTTTTAAAAAAAGTTCAAATTATCTAATGAATTTGACAATAGCGTAAACCATGTTGAAATTTGTGTGTTTTTGCACTTGAAGATTTCATTTGCTTATAACTTTTTAATGCCTTACTGTAAAAATTTACTGTTGGTCTTAAATGATCAAAAATTGTTATAGTTTTCATTTTTTTATACTCAGTGATGGTTATGCTGCTTATAGGAAGAGAAATTTGACATTTTTGGTCGAATGTTGAAATTTGTGCGAAAAATTTTAAAATTTGTGCAAAAAAATGTTGAAATTTTTGCGTTTTTTTGACAGCAAGCATTGACACATTTCAGAAATGTAAACAAACAATATTTTTACGTATTTTCGAGGGTTTTAAATTGTGATTGCTTTTAAGGAACACTTCCAAATAAACTCCATTTCAATTTTAAAGGTCACTGCTGCATTAATGAACTTTTTTCAAGATTTCCAAATTTATTTATCATTATGTATATCATTTATGTTGACTGAGTATGACGAGAAGACACCATTAAAACCAAGCACATCCTACAAATGTTTTTTTCCAAAATTTATTCACGATAAAGTTTACAGAATTTTGAGAAATAAAAGAATGAAGAGTATTTTAACGAAGTTTATTGTGTATCATCTATTTGGGACTGAAAATAGAACGTAGTTCTTGAATGCTTCTTTGTTCTTGTAATATTTTTTGAAGTTGGTTGCATTTTTGAAATTTTCTTGATTCTGTATGAATATTTGAGTCGAACACATTTTTCATTACTCTAAGTTCATGTCTTCTTCGTGTTATTTTTGTCTTAATCTTGAAGCATGCCTCTAAAAATCAAGATTTTGATTGTAAATAATTATTTTTGTTGACAAAATGTGCCATTGCTTTTTACGACAAAAACACACACAAATTTCAAAATTTGTCAAAATATTTTGCACAAATTTCAACATTTGAAAACAACTCATTTTAAATCAATTTTTGAAGGACTTCGAATGACTTTTCGAACGCAGAAACTTTTTTAATCGAAAAAGCAATAAAGAAACTTTGTTTTTCAACTCTGATGAAGTAAAAAGAATCATTAGTTGAGTCCAAATGACTAATGAAATTAAAAAGATGAAAACTTTCATTTTGTATAGGATTTTAAATAATTGAAATTTAAAGCTTTAAGAACCTTCAACACAGTCCAAAATGAAGTAGAAAAGTTTTAATAACTGCTTTACAAAGAACTGCAAACAAATTTTTTCTATAGATGGTTGAGTTTAGATGATTTACATTTCATTTGATCGCACAAATTTCAACATTGTACAAATTTCAACATGGTTTACCCTATTTATAAAACTGCAGATTATTTGTTCAAAAAAAATTAAATTGAAAGAAGATAAAAAAAAGTAATAAAAATGATCCAGACAGCTTAAAACTAATTTCAATATAAACCCAAAACTTTTCCAGACTTAAAAAAACAAGCCAATAAAAAAATAATCCCAAAAATGATTGATCTAGACAATTACAAATTTCTCGTGGTCTTATCAATTTTTGTCAAATAGATAACAGCAGTAAACTTACTAATCATTACTTTTTATTCTATTTTTACAAAAGGCAAGACCTCTTAAAGTGGAGTGGATGGGGTGAGAAAAGAAACACACGTTTTTAAATGACAAATCAATACAAATTGAAACTTTAATGATTATTTTAAAAATTTATTTAGGCTATCGTGACTCAAAATTCTATCCTAAACATGAGGAAGTATTTTTTTCTGGTGCACGATATCCAATTGGTGGTGACGTTAAACTTCCACATTTTGGTGATTGGATTCGGAGAAATTTTAACTTGAAAATGGATGATTTGCTCTCTCAGCCACAGAAGCCTTTAGAATATCCCGAGCCAAAATTAGATGAAATATTTTATGAAGCAATACAAGAATTAAATATTGACTATTCCATAACTGGAGAGGATCGTTTAGTGCGCTGTCATGGCCAAACACTTCACGACATTTATTGTCTACGCAATGGAAAGTTTGAAAGAATTCCTGATCTTATTCTATGGCCAAAATCTCACGAAGAAGTCGTAAAGATTGTCAAATTAGCTACTGAAAATAATATTTGCATAATTCCCTTTGGTGGTGGAACAAGTGTCAGTGGATCCATCACATGTCCTCAGGATGAAAAGCGCTGTATAACTGTAATCGATACAACTCAAATGAACAGACTTTTATGGCTTGATAAACAAAATTTGGTTGCTTGTTTTGAGAGCGGAATTGTTGGACAAGATTTGGAGCGTGTGTTGCAAGAAGAAGGACTTACAATGGGCCATGAGCCAGACAGCATAGAATTCTCCACATTGGGTATGTTAAATGTTATTTCAATTTCTATTACCTGTTTATTTGATCTTCAAATGTGAAATAAAAAATTACAAATATTGTTTTAATTCCTGATTTCGCTGTCAATTGGCAGTAAGTTGTCCTTGGAGTTGTTGCTAATATTTCATAGCATCAAAGATTACAATGAGAATGGCAAAATCAGTAGAAATGAGAATTTTTTTTCAAATTTAATTTTGTTTTTTGACGCACTAAAGGATATGTTAAATGATTTTTGTAGACAATAGTAATAACAGTAATCTTTATTAATTGCTCATTACCTAAATATCTCTACAGGTGGTTGGGTTGCAACACGAGCATCTGGTATGAAGAAGAATGTTTACGGAAACATTGAAGATATTGTTATTCGAGTCAAAATGGTGACATCAAAAGGTATTCTTGAACGTAATATTTCAGCGCCACGTGTCAGCTGTGGACCAGATTTTAATCAATTAATACTTGGGAGCGAAGGTACATTGGGAATTGTAACAGAAGTCGTAGTCAAAGTTCGTCCATTACCTCCAGTCAAAAAATACGGCTCATTAGTCTTTCCTGATTTTGAGTCTGGCATTCGCTGTTTGCGTGAAATAGCAAAAAAGAGATGTCAACCGGCTAGTATACGACTAATGGATAATGAACAATTTGTTTTTGGACAAGCATTAAAATTAGACACTGGAATATTTGCAAGTTTTGTTGATGGATTAAAAAATTTCCTTCTAACAAAAGTGAAAGGATATGATCTTACAAAAGTATCGGTAGCAACATTATTGTTTGAAGGTGATAAAGAAGAAGTCGATAGACAAGAGAAGCTTATCTATGAGATCGCAGATCAGTATTCAGGTCTCAAAGCAGGAGAAACAAATGGACAAAAAGGCTACGTGAGTATTTTATTTGTTTTTTACTTTAATTTTTTAAAATTTCATTTTTACTAAACCGCAAAATTCTTTCGTTACAGGTACTGACATTTGTTATTGCATATATTCGGGTAAGTTATCAAGGTTGAATTTAGTGCGTCATAAAACATTTGATTATAAATTTTAAAAGCTCGGGATTAATTCTATAAGCTCTTTAAGCAAGCCTAAGATCTCAGTTTGATATAATTACTTACAATTTATCATAAAAATTTAATTTTTTGCCTAAATATACAAAAAAATTGCTTGCTTATGCACACATTTTGTTCCGTAAATATGTAATTTGTCATATAACTTAAATTTTTTTCGGAACTTATTCTCAACAATAGAACAAATAATAAACAAAATGTTTGGTAAAGTTTAAATTATCTCCAGATTTTAGATTTTTATTGTTGATTAAGATCCGATGAAGCAACTTACTTCTTGCTTCCGATAAAACAAAATTAAGTTATCAAGATGTGTTGATGATTAATACTTTAATATTTAAGTTTTAAACTTTTTACCTCAAAGCTTAGTCTTCCATATTTTAGTTTTATGTAAAGAAGCCTTAAATACCGACATTCTTTAGCAAGGGTGCAAAAAATTCTTTGCATATTTTTACACACTAGCTGCTTATTCAGCTAAGAACTCTGCTGTCATGTGTGCTATAAAATTTACAATGTCAATATTTCATTTAAAAAACGTCAACGCATGAAAATTGCATTTCCATGTTTTTTAAACACAAATGATGATGCAATGAATGTTATTGATAGATGAAGTGCACATTTTTTCACTGCCGTGTGTTTAATTTTCATAACAATTAACACATGAATATTTACAAAAAAAAAGTACCTTTATGAAGTATTACAGCAAGTATCAAAAGTCAATTCAGAGAAACTCTTACAAATTTTGTTTAATGATTTTTTGTATTATTTACATTTTGTGCATATTGCGACTGTTAATAATATTTTTTCATCCGTATCTTCATGACTAAATATTGAGTTAAGATTTTGCGAAGTTTCTTTCTGCAATGTTTAAATATTAAATACATTTGGAAAATTTTAACAAAATTTTGAGATTTAAGTTTATTCAGCAATTAAAAGGTTTTCCAAGAACTATAAAAATCTTTTTGTTAAAATAAAAACAAAAAGAATTCATTAGCTTCAAATTATAATTATTCAGCTATTCCAAGAGCTTTTTAAATCCTTAGCCTGAAGTTTATACTTGAAATCAATAAGTCATTCACAACAAACAGTCATTTAAATATTGTGAATGAAACAGAAAACAACAAAAACAATTCAATGCAGTAGCTGCTTTTCGGTAAAAATTATATATTACAACATAAAGTAGGTTGGGCATCTTCGGCAGTACTGATTATTGAATCATTAGATGGCGTTAACATATCATAATATTTACACGTAAAAGAACTGTAACAATCTTATTGAAAATTATCTTATGAAATTTGTCAATGTACACATCTCATAAACATATGAATTGATCCTAATTCAAAGATGATTACTTACTATTCCATAAACTGCTTATATGTTAAATATTCAAACTGATTCAAACTGTCTTGAACTTGAATTTATGAATTGTTTGCTTTAATTATTGTAGTGACTTAATTTTGATTGTAATGAACGGTTCATTAGTTCATGAAATATTATTTAAAATATGCAAAAGCAGCTTGTTCAACTAATTTAAAGTAAAATCTGCAAGGACTTTGGATCAAAAGTTCAAACAATCGTTGATTTTAACTTCAAATGCAATAAAAATTTTAGATTATTATTTTCATCTGGTTTATTCTGGTTCCTTCTAGATCTAAAGTCACACTGACCTTTAAATCTTTTCCTATAACCAATTTGTTATTGTAACTTCACATCACATTAAAAAAATTAATCAAAATTGTAGCAATGATCAATTAAAAATGTACAAAATTTATCACGCTAGGATAATGAATTAAGATTTTTTTTTATATAGCGTACTTAATTCTCTATCCAAATAAATAGTTTACAGTTCAATTTATAATCTTTATTTACTTACTTTCAATTGACGACTATGATGTAATATTTTAAGAAGCTATTATAAATTAAAAGAAATATACTCGATAAATTTAACAACCAGATACTTCATTTACATACCCTAAACCTTGAAATATATGAAAATTTAAAACACTGATCTCTCAATTATCAACAGTACTTACATTTAGAGACAACTTCAGTACTTCAATTAATATTTCAAAATAGTTGATAATTAAACAATTAATTTAAGAAGTAAAATTTTGTTCCATTTAAACAGGATCTTGGACTAGACTATGGTATAGTTGCCGAATCATTCGAAACATCAGTACCATGGGATAAGTGTGAGAGTTTATGCCGCAATACAAAGGCTGTAGTTCGTCAAGAATGCAAAAAACATGGAATCGACCATTATCTAATTAGTTGTAGAGTGACGCAGACGTATGATGCCGGTGCATGTGTTTATTTTTATTTTGGTTTTCGATGGAATACTGAATGTCAAAATCCGGTTGATCTTTATGAGGAAATTGAATTAATGGCAAGGAATGAAATTTTAGCCTCAGGTTAGTTTTTTTTCTTTCTTTTATTTGAATGCTCAGGCACAGTTAAAAATTGTTTATTTATTCATCTGTCAGGTGGTTCAATTTCACATCATCACGGGATTGGAAAAATTCGTGCACGTTGGTACAAGCAGAGTGTCTCATCGATAGGTGTCAGCCTTTATAAAGCTGCAAAAATGGAGCTTGATCCGAGAAACATTTTCGGACTTAATAATCTTCTCACTCCTGAAGATGCCATTGACTTTGAAAAACTTCAATCAAAGCTTTAATTCAATTTTGCTTATTACTTGACCAAAACAGTTTTGGATAGACAATTTTGCTTCTTCTTCTTTGTTGGATTTGTTTTCTTTTCTACAGTTTTATTAAAGTTTGAGTTTTTTGATGCGAAAGTAAGCTAATTAAGAAGCATTTCTTCTATGTAAACTACAAAATATTAATAAATAAATAAATTATAATTTAGCTTTAAATGAAATATATTTTTTTGGCAAAATGAAAAATCCTTCATTCCAGTTAAGATTTTGATCTTGTAATCTTTACAAACGACTAGATTGTAGTTAAACAAAATTTCTTCTAGGTTTGTACTAAATTACACTTGATCATATCTTGCTACATTATTCAATTGAATTGGAATATTTTTCTATAAGTGTTAACAGATGTTTATGATTCCGTCGCACATAAACGTAGATTCCTTCTTAATAAATTGCTTCTCAGAACTTCTACCCGTCAATGATCAATACCTAAACTCGTAATTCGATTAGTTCTGTCATAATACAAAGTTTTATTGTGAACATTTGTGAAAAATGATCGAAAAAGCAATTATTTATCTATTTTTCATTTTAAAAAAATCTTATGATGACGTAGATTACTACAGAACAGTCTCATAATTCAATCTCATGCTGACATAGTTGGAGGGCTCATTCCAAAAGTACTTATTGTATGAAAAAAAATAAGAATAAACAAATAATAACAATAGAACCATTACTAGTCAATTTAAGCTGCAAAAAAGTACATACATTATGATCTGACCTCTAGTCCTTGAAAAAAAAATCGTTTATAATTACAAACCATTCATACTTCGATTAACTGTTATTGGTGAAACAAGGCACGTGTTTAGTTTTGAAATGTCTTTTGGTTAGATTATTAACAAAATATTCAAATAAAGTACAAGTAGAGATGTTGATACTCTGGTCAAAATCAAACAGTTTTTTCAAAATCTTTAGTCATTAAGGATAAAACAGATCTTTCCAAACAAGCTCAAATGATTAGAATTTGTAGCTTTGGAATTCTCTTTCTCTTTCTTTGCAGTCAGAAAGTTACTGAACTGATATTTCTGACGTAATATCAGAAAGAGTTTTGAAAAGCTTCAAAAAATACAATGGAACCTAATTAAGATAGATTAACGTAATTTTAATTCGCGAAAATGACAAGACTGAAGATATTTTTGCGAAAAAAATGTATTTGTCGTTTGATTAGGTGTTTAAACAACCTTTGATTGCTTGAAAACAAATGCACGAAATTAAGGATTTTAAAAACAAAGATTAGCATGCATTAAAAATTAAGTTTCAAATCAATCTACATGATCCTGTTTTAGTTTCTAGTTAATACTAGTGTATCGGGTAGAAACCCAATGCGGATATATTCACACCGTACCATCAAAAGTGAAGAGTATGAACAAAATTCAGATGGGGTAGTCGAAATTTTAGATTTCGTTTTTTTTAAGCTATGCATTACAAAAAGTAATATTGGTATGTGATTTATGTCAGAATTATGTCAATTCAAATAAAACATCCAAAAATTTTTTTTGACAAAAGTACACCATAGAAAATCAATTTTAAATTTTGGACTAGGGGCGACCCTAGTCAAAATCAATTTTGTCCCTTTTTTTCTTCGAGGGTTTATACAAACGGATTGAAACTATGCAGAAATATTTAAGTGCTTAAAACAAATACAAATAAATCATCCAAAAGTTTTTTTGAGCAAAGAACCAAGAAGGAAATACATTTTCAATTTTGGACTAGGGGCGACCCTAGTTAAAATCAATTTTGTCACTTTTTTCTTCGAGGGTTTATCCAAATGAATTGAAACTTTGCATAAATATTCTAATGCTTAAAACAAAAACAAATAAAACATCCAAAAATTTTTTTGAGCAAAGAACCAAGAAGGAAATACATTTTCAATTTTGGACTAGGGGCGACCCTAGTCAAAATCAATTTTGTCACTTTTTTCTTCGAGGGTTTATCCAAATGGATTGAAACTTTGCATAAATATTCTAATGCTTAAAACAAATACAAATAAAACATCCTAAAATTTTTTTGAGCAAAGAACCAAGAAGGAAATACATTTTCAATTTTGGACTAGGGGCGACCCTAGTCAAAATCAATTTTGTCACTTTTTTCTTCGAGGGTTTATCCAAATGGATTGAAACTTTGCATAAATATTCTAATGCTTAAAACAAATACAAATAAAACATCCTAAAATTTTTTTGAGCAAAGAACCAAGAAGGAAATACATTTTCAATTTTGGACTAGGGGCGACCCTAGTCAAAATCAATTTTGTCACTTTTTTCTTCGAGGGTTTATCCAAATGGATTGAAACTTTGCATAAATATTCTAATGCTTAAAGCAAATACAAATAAAACATCCTAAAATTTTTTTGAGCAAAGAACCAAGAAGGAAATACATTTTCAATTTTGGACTAGGGGCGACCCTAGTCAAAATCAATTTTGTCACTTTTTTCTTCGAGGGTTTATCCAAATGGATTGAAACTTTGCATAAATATTCTAATGCTTAAAACAAATACAAATAAAACATCCTAAAATTTTTTTGAGCAAAGAACCAAGAAGGAAATACATTTTCAATTTTGGACTAGGGGCGACCCTAGTCAAAATCAATTTTGTCACTTTTTTCTTCGAGGGTTTATCCAAATGGATTAAAACTTTGCATAAATATTCTAGTGCTTAAAACAAATACAAAAAAATATCTCAAAAGTTTTTTGAGCAAAGAACCAAGTAGGAAATACATTTTCAATTTTGGACTAGGGGCGACCCTGGTCAAATCCAATTTTGTCACTTTTTTCTTCGAGGGTTTATCCAAATGGATTGAAACTTTGCATAAATATTCTAGTGCTTAAAACAAATACAAATAAAACATCCTAAAATTTTTTTGAGCAAAGAACCAAGAAGGAAATACATTTTCAATTTTGGACTAGGGGCGACCCTAGTCAAAATCAATTTTGTCACTTTTTTCTTCGAAGGTTTATCCAAATGGATTGAAACTTTGCATAAATATTCTAGTGCTTAAAACAAATACAAATAAAACATCCTAAAATTTTTTTGAGCAAAGAACCAAGTAGGAAATACATTTTCAATTTTGGACTAGGGGCGACCCTGGTCAAATCCAATTTTGTCACTTTTTTCTTCGAGGGTTTATCCAAATGGATTGAAACTTTGCATAAATATTCTAATGCTTAAAACAAATACAAATAAAACATCCTAAAATTTTTTTGAGCAAAGAACCAAGAAGGAAATACATTTTCAATTTTGGACTAGGGGCGACCCTAGTCAAAATCAATTTTGTCACTTTTTTCTTCGAGGGTTTATCCAAATGGATTAAAACTTTGCATAAATATTCTAGTGCTTAAAACAAATACAAAAAAATATCTCAAAAGTTTTTTGAGCAAAGAACCAAGTAGGAAATACATTTTCAATTTTGGACTAGGGGCGACCCTGGTCAAATCCAATTTTGTCACTTTTTTCTTCGAGGGTTTATCCAAATGGATTGAAACTTTGCATAAATATTCTAGTGCTTAAAACAAATACAAATAAAACATCCTAAAATTTTTTTGAGCAAAGAACCAAGAAGGAAATACATTTTCAATTTTGGACTAGGGGCGACCCTAGTCAAAATCAATTTTGTCACTTTTTTCTTCGAGGGTTTATCCAAATGGATTAAAACTTTGCATAAATATTCTAGTGCTTAAAACAAATACAAAAAAATATCTCAAAAGTTTTTTGAGCAAAGAACCAAGTAGGAAATACATTTTCAATTTTGGACTAGGGGCGACCCTGGTCAAATCCAATTTTGTCACTTTTTTCTTCGAGGGTTTATCCAAATGGATTAAAACTTTGCATAAATATTCTAGTGCTTAAAACAAATACAAAAAAATATCTCAAAAGTTTTTTGAGCAAAGAACCAAGTAGGAAATACATTTTCAATTTTGGACTAGGGGCGACCCTGGTCAAATCCAATTTTGTCACTTTTTTCTTCGAGGGTTTATCCAAATGGATTAAAACTTTGCATAAATATTCTAGTGCTTAAAACAAATACAAAAAAATATCTCAAAAGTTTTTTGAGCAAAGAACCAAGTAGGAAATACATTTTCAATTTTGGACTAGGGGCGACCCTGGTCAAATCCAATTTTGTCACTTTTTTCTTCGAAGGTTTATCCAAATGGATTGAAACTTTGCATAAATATTCTAGTGCTTAAAACAAATACAAATAAAACATCCTAAAATTTTTTTGAGCAAAGAACCAAGAAGGAAATACATTTTCAATTTTGGACTAGGGGCGACCCTGGTCAAATCCAATTTTGTCACTTTTTTCTTCGAAGGTTTATCCAAATGGATTGAAACTTTGCATAAATATTCTAGTGCTTAAAACAAATACAAAAAAATATCTCAAAAGTTTTTTGAGCAAAGAACCAAGTAGGAAATACATTTTCAATTTTGGACTAGGGGCGACCCTGGTCAAATCCAATTTTGTCACTTTTTTCTTCGAGGGTTTATCCAAATGGATTAAAACTTTGCATAAATATTCTAGTGCTTAAAACAAATACAAAAAAATATCTCAAAAGTTTTTTGAGCAAAGAACCAAGTAGGAAATACATTTTCAATTTTGGACTAGGGGCGACCCTGGTCAAATCCAATTTTGTCACTTTTTTCTTCGAAGGTTTATCCAAATGGATTGAAACTTTGCATAAATATTCTAGTGCTTAAAACAAATACAAATAAAACATCCTAAAATTTTTTTGAGCAAAGAACCAAGTAGGAAATACATTTTCAATTTTGGACTAGGGGCGACCCTAGTCAAAATCAATTTTGTCACTTTTTTCTTCGAGGGTTTATCCAAATGGATTAAAACTTTGCATAAATATTCTAGTGCTTAAAACAAATACAAAAAAATATCTCAAAAGTTTTTTGAGCAAAGAACCAAGTAGGAAATACATTTTCAATTTTGGACTAGGGGCGACCCTGGTCAAATCCAATTTTGTCACTTTTTTCTTCGAGGGTTTATCCAAATGGATTAAAACTTTGCATAAATATTCTAGTGCTTAAAACAAATACAAAAAAATATCTCAAAAGTTTTTTGAGCAAAGAACCAAGTAGGAAATACATTTTCAATTTTGGACTAGGGGCGACCCTGGTCAAATCCAATTTTGTCACTTTTTTCTTCGAAGGTTTATCCAAATGGATTGAAACTTTGCATAAATATTCTAGTGCTTAAAACAAATACAAATAAAACATCCTAAAATTTTTTTGAGCAAAGAACCAAGAAGGAAATACATTTTCAATTTTGGACTAGGGGCGACCCTAGTCAAAATCAATTTTGTCACTTTTTTCTTCGAAGGTTTATCCAAATGGATTGAAACTTTGCATAAATATTCTAGTGCTTAAAACAAATACAAATAAAACATCCTAAAATTTTTTTGAGCAAAGAACCAAGTAGGAAATACAATTTGCTGATTAACTTGCTTGCTTGCTTGCTTGTTTGCTTACAGAAAGCGTATTTTGCGATTTTCTCAGCAATGCCACAACCAATTTGAAATCTGTTTTTTGAAAATGATGTAAAATTTCAGGCACAAACTTTTCTTCTTGACCTTTTATAACCAATTTTGCTTTGTTTTCTCACAAAATGCGAAAAACTGATTTTTCAGTATGAACAAAACCAATAGATTCACACGTGAAAACGGTGTGAATATAAAAATTATTTTGAATCTATTTTCTTTATTTTCATTTTTTGGTCAATGCTTATAAATTTAAAAGTTTTAAATCTACAGAATTTCATTTATAAAACTTCAAATGAGGCTGACCAAGCTTTTTGTCAGCATAACTCTTCAAATGATGTTCTGCAAACACTTTCAATTCATTAATGCTTTCACTTCCTTGATATTCTTCCATCAATGCTCCATCAACATAAAGATGCACAGTCGGAAATCCAATTGCATTTTGAGATGTACAAAATCCCTTTTCAGCGATGCAATCTACTCGATAAAATTTGATGGGTTTGCCAACAAATGAGCTAATCAGTCGTTCCCATAATGGATAGAACATTCTGCAGTAATGGCACCATTTAGTGAAGAATCTAAAAATAAAGATGTTTTTAAAAATAGATTCTTAATCTTTTTTGAATTAATTGTGCAGCTTAAGACAAGCACTAACGATGATATTAAGAATCATGGGTTATTTGGAATTACCATTCATATGAAATTATTTCAATTGGGATAAATGAAGGTATGACCTTCGATATATAAGTTGTATTAGGGATTTTTTATTGTTTAATATATTTACAAGATGTAACAAACTATTGTGTTACTTGACCTTAACGTGGATTAATATGTTTAATTATTGATAAACTAGAGAACTTATGAAATAACGGTGATATCCAGTGGAGACATGCGTAAGATCTGTTAATGTACCTTTAAATGATGACTCTTAAAAGATATGAAGCATTTAGGTTGACATTTTTGATCTTTAAATCCATCAAAATATTTGAGACAAAGTGCGTAACGCGGAAGACAATTATGGACATTAAGTGAGATAAATGACGTGAAATATTAAATCAAATTATAACTTACAATACAAAATTAACTCCGTCCTTAATGCTTGCATCAAAACTGTCCTGATTAACTGCAGTTCCAACTAATTCTGGATAGATGACATCACAATGGGTCGTTGCTATTGAATAGTTCTTCTTCTTCTTATATCTTTTCGGTGTATAGTCATAGACGAAATTCTTAGCTTTCATAGCTATTACTGGTCTTACACATGTTGCCATTAGAAGATCACCAAACACCATTGTGTACGATGGAAGTGATTCATTGACGAAATTAAAGCAAGATTCAGGACAACGAAAACAATCAATTTCCTCGAAGGAAATATCTGCAAAATCATTGAAATGTTCTTTTACTTCTTCCCAAATTGTACTTTGCTTTATTTCAAACGAACTTCTAAAATGATACGAATAAGCAGACAATAAGTTAGCAGTTTCTTTCACCTGTTTCAATAAACGATGTCAGAAACTGTAATGACGCAGATAGCTGAATTCTGGTCGTGTGTAATAAGGTTTGAAAAAAAATATTGTTCCTACGTGAGTTGTATTTATCATTATTCTTATGTTAAGTTTAATAAGCTTTAAAGTATGTCTTTTCTTAGTATTAAGAGATGATAATTAATTAGGTCAAATCATATATAAAGGGCTTCTGACCTTACTACGTCAAAGAACTTAAGATAAACTGTACTTATCGTTAATACTCACCCTTCATTCCTCGAGTCATAGAATCTTACGAGCGTCTTTGGTGTTCCTGTATGATAGAATTTATCACAATTCTCATGATGACTAGCAAAAACAGCATTTAAGGAAGAAGCTACTAAGAGTATTGTAATTAAGTTTTTCATGACTTATGTTTTAACGATGATATGTATTAACGTCTTGGGTACTTAAAATATACTGATAATGACAATAGAGATGCTCTGTGATAAAAAGCGACACATAATGATTAAGAGAGAGTATAGCATGACAAGTAAACTAGTGACATCTATTGACTAAAATATTTTTGAATTTTTAAAAACGTTAGAGAATGCAACTTTTGCAATTTTTTAATTCAAGTAAAATAGCTTATAACTGTGTGATTTTTTGTAAAATAAGTATTAATGTCATTTAGTAATGTATTGGCGAGGATAAAAGATTTATTTTTAGGACCAAAAAGCTCAAAGAGATTACTTCAATCCATTTTGACTAGTATGATTTTTGAATCGAGTAGAATCGTAGGTTTCAAACTTACATCTTCACAAAAGAGAGTTACATATATCTGGTCTCTTGTCTAAGCACTCGCTCATCATAAAGACCGAACTCTCTAGTATATGTGCTTCCATATAGCTTGTTACGTATGATTCAACACTTCTCAGATGCCTCAACTAGCATATCTAGGCAAAGAATCCAATAGATTTAAGATACCTTCACTATATACTTAGACATAAAAAATAACAGGAAACTTTTAATCTACAATTTTTAAGGTTCGATACCCAAAAAACAATATCTTCCAACCCCAAATTAAACACAATTTAATGTTCTCATAAATTGTATCAAAAAACTTTATTTTCATCCTTAACAAAATTGAATTTGATTGAAATTTTATAACAGATTAAAAAATTAACACTTCTTCATCTGCCTTAAAACATTTTTTTTTGTTCAAAACCTTCCTTAAATCCTGTAATTGAATTACTGCAAATTTTCACGTTTAAGATAATGATCCGGTGCAAGATTCAACATTTCAGCTTCACTAGCTTCATTCAAACATTCAACAACGTCTTTTCCTGTATCAACAGCATTGGCAAGGCCTTTTCTTACAGCTTCTGATGTTACAGTCTTTAAACCAGTTGCCCATCCCATAGCAGCAAAAATTCGAATGAGACTTGTTGATGATCCTTCGCCATAATTTCCAAACTCACCACTTTGGTAATCGTATGGAAGTAAGTAGTGGTATTGTGGCCAATAACTAAGTTAAAAGATAATTTATCAAACCAAAATAGAAGGAAGAATGCACAAGACTTACCTCTTAGTAACAATGAATACCATATTGGAATCAGATTGCTTATGATTCTTATCAAGTGCCCAAATGAAGTGTGCTGAGTTGATGAGCCAAGCGACATTAATAACAATTAGGTAGCGTAATGAGAATGCAACGAAAATAGCTGCTTGTGCTGTATCGTCCCAATATTCAAGAGGTGCATTAATTGGAAGAAGAACAAAGAGAATGATGTAAAGGATCCAATAGAATCTGTGAATGATACGCAAAAAATTAAGTTTAAGTTTAACGAAACTTTAAAAGTGTAAGCAGCACTACGAAACTTACCTCTTTTGGAACATAACAACACCATCGTCCTCCATATCTTTCATATTCACTTCCTCAATCATTTTTTCTTGACGTGTACTCAACTTTCTAATATGAGCAAAAACTTGTGATGACATAAAATCTTTATCACTGTAGTATGGATCATCAGCGGTCTTAAAAGCTTTATGATGCAAACGATGAGCTCGAACAAAGTCATAAATTGAGCCCTAAAATGTAAAAAAAAGAAATTTCCACAATGTCAAGGTTCAAATTTTAAAAATTCAAGGTTTCTTCTTATCCACGATAAAACTCATGTTGAGTTGAATAACTTAGACTTACATTTCCTGCCATAGTCTGACACAGCATAAGTAAAATTCTGAGTGTTGTACTTGCTTTGAATGTTCCATGTGCCCAAAGTCTAAAACATAAAGAAGTAAGTGTTAAAAGGTTGCGATAATGAATAAATTATTGGAAGTGCTAGAAAGTTTTAGAAATTGTAATAACTTAATATGTCTTGCTACATTGGAATTGGTAGTTGTATGATTTATAGCGATTTTTGACACTTTAGTATTCTAAGTTCAGTGACATCCAATAGAGATTTAAGAAGCTTTTAAAACCTTACCTATGTGCTCCTACAGTTGATCCATAAATTCCCATTAAAGTCAAAATGGTGGCTAGAAGAAAATAAGTTTAACATGAAAAATCTAAAGTTCGAACCACTTTATTTAAATTATTGAATTGATGTTCCAAGAAAATGTGATTTCAAAACTCAAAAGAAATTGCCATACTTACAGAAAGCAATTGTAATGAGCTTAGTATTGGTGAATAAAATGACGATTCCATACAATCCTAGAATGTTTAAATGAATAAAGAATAAAACAGATGGCCATGATGCTTCCCGTTTATAATCTCCTGATTTTGGTTTTGAACTTTCTGAACTTTCCGTCATCTTTATTACTTGCTAGTTCTTTAGATGACAAAATAATTACACAGCTCTTTATATCTACTTCTTATGTAGAAAAGGGTCTAAATTACACTGTCTATTAATATTCAATTAAGCACTAATTAATATTCGAATCCAATTTGAAATGTCAGCGTGACTTTGTGATTTTCTTGTCAGCCAAATGATTGAGGTAAACTTGCTAATCCACAACTAGTTCTTTATCGAAAGCAATTTCTTGAACTTCTGCAAAAAATTTACAAACTTTACAGCAACTCAAAACTTTCTCCCCGAAAAAATCATTCAAATAGAAAGAAGCTCTTTGTTTTGCTTAATGGAACTATCTCTGATGAAGCCTATCAAATAACTAACTTGAAAGAGGTATGCGTCAACTTTTTTTCGTTTGATTTGAACTTTCCTGTTAATTAGATGCTCAGTTTTAAGCATACTTAATTGTATGATAATGAATCGAACCTACGGTAATAATATTGCCAAGCTACCAAATTGATTTCTTTTAGTTGAGCTGATAGTCATATTGGATAAAAAGTTTTTTTTTGGGGGAATTAGCAATGCACGGGGCATTATATTTAATTTTTAAATTATGGTCTAATTTATTCTGTCATCTTTAGAGCTTAATTTGATTTTAAATGTGCTTATTTCTTCTTCAATCAATGCACATCGTCTGTAAAACCGGGTAAAACCTTATCATTGAGTTTCTTTGGTGTCGTTATAGACTCAAATTTTGGATATCAAACAATATTAAGATAAAGCACAATATCAGAGTCACACTAGCTTAGTGCCAGATTTCTGATCGATACCCCGACTTGTGCTATTCGGGTTAGTTATAAGACAACACATCGAAAATAGGAATCCTCTTTCATAAGGATGTGGATTTGATTATTATGAGGAGCTAGAAATTCTTTACATAGATTGACAAAGACTTGCTTAATGCGTGCTAGTCAATGTCAATGTCATCATATCGATTACACTCTATGTAATGATTGAGCGGTCTTTGTAAAGAATCGAACTCACGTCCTCACATAAGAGAGTTACAAATATTCGATCTGTTGCCTACATAGGCCACTGGCAGATTTGCTTTTAAAAGACTCAAGACCACAGATTGTGTTCTGCTCAGAAAAAAAAACAATTAATAACAATCAGTTCATTCAAAAAGCCTCAAAAATTTGTAATATTCAACTTATGTACGTCGTTCCTGTATTACAAATAATTTATTCAATCATTCTAATTTTTAACACAATATAAATATTAACATGAATGACATTAATTTTTCATTGTGCCCAAGTCCTTTTTATCCTCGTCATCAATATCTTTATCACCATATCCCCACAGTGATGTTTTGTGTGCTGCTTCATGAGATAAATAATGAGTACCATCACCTGATTTTGCAACTTTTCTTGCAATCATGTCGGCACTTGCAAACTTTCGATCTTGCACCCAACCAATGTGGGCAAAAAAGTCAATCACAGCTGTTGTTATATTGTACTTATAGCCCTTCCATCCACCAAATTCTCCGGTTTTGTAGTCGAATGGAAAAACCTGTGGAATAAGAGTTTATTTAATGATTATTTTGGATTGTTTTCCTACTTAAATGAGCCGGGGTAATCAACTCAAAATGACATTCAGCCTATCCTTTAAATTACTTAATCCTTAGATCCTTTTTAATACTCACATGATGGAAGTTGTGCCAACCTTTAAATTTCACAGTCATCGTAAAACAATTGCGTTTAATTTATTGAATATTAAATAAGGGTGGGAACCGAGACAGTCATAGAATCAAAATAAATAAAAACACCATGCATAAAATGATAATTAATTTTAATTCATGTAATTTTTTACCTTCACCCATTGCAGCGATTGCCACAGACAAATTCTCAACAGGCATGATATGCTTATCATAAGGTTTCGTGCCAAACATATGAGCTACACTATTTACAGAGTATGCAATGTTAAGTGTTGTAGCAAAGCGACATACAAAGACAGTCCAAAATGAAATCCATAAATTCTCATTCCATAGACATGGGACTGTTATTGGTATTATTATGACTAGAAGAGCGAAAAGTGGAATAAAATACCTAAGGAATTAAAGTGGATTGAGATTAAGGTGATTAGGAAGTCTAAGGTGTATCAAATTACTGACTTTTTCTGCCACATGACAACTGAATCGGCTTCCAAATCACTCATATCAATTGCTTTACGCTTTTCAATTACATTGGGATGGGGAGTCAGAAACAGCCATCCAACATGAGCGAAGAAGAATCCTCGATGTCTATGAATTGAGATTTATTGAAAATTTTATTAAGACTTAAAGATTGAGTAGAGTTTAATGACAAATTCTTACGCATTATGAGGATCAGAATCAGTCTCTGAATATTTATGATGAACACGATGATCATGTGCCCATGTGTAAGCATCTCTCTGAAATATTCCAATCAAAAATAATGCTGCATTCTGGCAAGTTAACAAAAATGTTCATTGGAATCTACTCAAAACACGTAGATGCATCGATTTTTCAATCATAAGTAACTGTGCAGTGTAATTAGGATACGTATAAACATTCATAATCATAGAAATAATAAGGCATGTAAACAAGACAGTGTGTCGCTTTTATAGTTTTTCGTTTCCTTCCATTCCTTTGATGAATAATAAACGATAATGTTGTTACTCGTTCACCTGTTGTTAAAATTTCATTCTGTTCACATTAGTGACATAATTTTATTTCCTTTCAGCTTATTATGTTAAATTACTACAAATTTCTAGATAATACAGTGCGAAAAATTACACAAAGCTTTAGTCATGCAAAGCGAGCTTTGGAAATTCGAAAAATGTGAGTAATATTGAAGATTTAATAAGTTTCGTGTTAAGGGAATTCTTTGATGGAACTATTAGAAGTTTCTGTTCATAATTTCAGCTTTATAACCAATTGAAATACTTGATGTTGATGATTTTGTTCAAATGTTTACATTTAAAAGTATGGAATGTTAATTTAAGCTTTCAATCTTTGTTTTTAAAATAAAGATAAATTTCAATTCTTTAAGATTAAAACCAAACTTCAACAGATCATTCATAAAATCGATTTTAGATTAATTTTCAACCATTTACAAGCTTTGTTTAATTCAAATATCTCCAAATGCCTTTAATAATTAATCTTTCTGAATGATTGCAATAAAAATGACAAATAATTAATCTATTTCCATCAACTGATTGTTAATATTTTATTCATTATTATTTCAATGACTAATTAATGTTATCACCTTTTCATAGCACATGTTAAATGAATGTAAAACCTTTCAAAGATGAAGATAATGACTATCATTCAAAACATTAATAAAATCATGAGTTAAAGTTTGAAAAACTAGTTCAAAGATTAATGGCAGGATTAATTGGTAAACATTTTGATAAGGGTTTGTTTGATATAGTTCTTATTCAAGAATCTTACATAAAGAAATATGTAGTGTGCATTAACACTCAAAATGGAATTATTTTGTATCAACAAAACAATGGTAAGGTAAGATCTTGTATTTTAGTAAATCAGAGTTTAAAGTATTTTGTACTGCCTCAATTCACCGACACCGATGAAGTCACGGTTAAGGTTTCATTAAAAGATGAGAACGGCAATTTTGTTGACATTATTTTCTGTAGTGGGTATTTTCCTTATGATTCAGTATATGACCCACCAAGTCATAACATCATAAATTTGGTTGATTATTGTAACAAAAGTGGCTTGAATCTAATTGTTGGTTGCGATGCTAATGCACACAATGTGGTGTGGGGTAGCAGCGATACCAACAAAAGAGGGGAGAGCCTAATGGAATTTCTGCTTATTAAGGAATTGATTGTTTTGAGTGAAGGTAATAAACCTACTTTCTGCAACAGCATTAGACAGGATGTGATTGATATCACATTTTCCAATAGAAGTATATACAATGCAGTCAGTGATTGGAGAGTTTCAGATGAGCCATCCTTTTCGGACCACAGATATATTACTTTTGAGGTAATGTCTAGTGAATCTTCTAGGGGAGGGTTTTAGAAACCCGAGAAACACTGACTGGATTGGTTATAAATGTCTTTGCCTCTCAGAAAATTGAGAAACTGCAAAGAATAGCAGGATTGTCAATTTGCGGTGCTTGGAAAACTACTCCAAAACTGGCTTTGAATAGATTTCTTGAGCTCCTCCACTTCGAGTCAGAATTGAAGCTGCAGCTCAAACAAGTGCATCCAAATTGAAGGTTAGTAAATTATGGGTTAATGACTGGATTTCTACAGGTCATATGGAATTAAATCGATTTCTAAGGAGTGTAAGTTTATTCACCTTAAAATCGGATCATATAGTGTCAAAATACGTTTTTGACAAACCTTTTGTGGTAGTTGTATCAGAAGATAATGCTGCTGAATCTTGTGATTTGGTGAATAATAACTGTATGTTTGTGTTTACTGATGCATCAAAGTCAGAAAGGGGTGTTGGCATTGGTTTGTTCAGCAATAATCTGAGTTTGAATTCATCCTAGAAACTGCAAGATCATGCTTCTGTCTTTCAGGCAGAAGTTCAATCTATTTGTGAGGGTGCTAATTACTGTTTGGATATGGATTTGAAAGGCTGTAGAATTTGCTTTCTTTCAGATTGTCGATCAGCTTTGACGGCTTTAAACAATTGTGTTGTGAAGTTTTTAACAGTTCTTGATTGTATTTCTTGTTTAACAGCATTGGGGTAAGAAAATTAAGTCATCCTAAAATGGATACCTGGACACAGTGGTACTGAAGGTAATGAAACAGCTGATCAATTAGCAAAAGAAGTAGTACACAAGGAAGCTTATGACAAGTCGACGTACTATAGTTTTGGCTTGTTAAAGTCAAACATACGAGAATGGATCGATAGACAGCATTTTCGTTTCTGGAATTTAGAAGAAGGAGCCATGACAGCCAAAAGACTTCTTGGTCCTAAAAATAAGAATAAAATATCGGATGCTCTCAGACTACCAAGGAAAGACCTTAGCATCTTAATTGGTGCTTTGACAGGACACATGAGTAACAATAGTTTTCTTTTTAAATTGAATTTGTCTAACAGTAAAATTTGCAGGTTTTGTAATGTGAATGAAGAAACAATCATTCATTTACTTTGTAAATGTAGGTCATTACGAGAACAACGTGTCAAGCATTTTGATGAGGACTATTTGAATGATGAGGATATAAATAAGCAGCATTATCAGGACATTATTGGCTTTATTAAGGACATAGGAGTTCTAACATAGGGGACTTGGGATGGTACAACAGATCATCGATCGCAGTGCCGCTTTTCTAATGGCAGGATAGAATTTGGAGTGTGCCAATTTGTTGCATACCTCTAAGGGGCCGTTCACTTATTACGTCCGACATTTAGGGGGGGAGGGGGTCTAGGATTTTGTGACAGTTCAAACAATGGAAATTTTTTTCTATGGAATTTTTGTGACAGAGGGGGGAGGGGGGGTCTAAAAATCAGGTATTTTGATGGACGTCATAAGTGAATGACCCCTAATCATATTGACAAAAAAAATGATAAGAACAAAAAATCAAAAAGGTCAGTTTTTGAAACAGATGTGAGATTTAAATGGCATGTTATAGACACAAGTAGAAAACCTTAATTGTGAATCTTTTATATGCAATCAAATAAGGTAGTTGCGAGTCAACGAACTTTAAATTTTTAATTTTTTCTTTGTGTATTGAATATTCGACGTTAAAGCTAAAGATACTCAAACTTTTTAAGTTACAAAACAATAAATCATCAAGTTATGCTTCTGTGCTACAAACGTTGCTACTATTGGCACACATAAGGTTTTTTTTTCGCGGAACATAGTTTGAGTACATCTGCACCATAACTTAGCCATAAATTCTTCAAAGTATTAGATCTGCTCAAATTCCTCGATCTTTGTAGAGTACGACAACTACTTAAGCTTAAGACAAAGAAACTTTATAAACATAAATAAAATCATGAAAATGAATTTCTAGAATTTTCTCCATAAATTGTTAATAATAACAATCAATCGACTATCCAACAACTTATCAACACAATTCCACGATATAAACCTATAATTTGTGCTCAAGCTAAATATTTAAAGAATCAATAACTATAAAATCATAGTGAAAAGCAGTAAAAAAGAAAATTGATTGCATGCTATAAGCAACAGTCGCAGACACAAGAAATAATTCCATAGAATAGCCAAATACGTGCATTTAGACATACACTCATTCATCAAGCATTAATATTTAATCATCATAGAATAAAATATATAGTCATACCTGGCCAGAAATTGTGAATAAGATCATCAAAAGAACACGCAATGGCCATTTTGCTTTATATGATTTGTGACTCCACAATCGATGTGCCTGAAAATTAATGGTAATAAATTGAATTTCCACGATTTTTCGTCGAGCATTTTATGATGATAAACTAACCCCAGCTGTAATTCCAATTCCCGATGTGTAGACTAGGAAAATGACTGAGCATGAAAAAAATCAATTTATTTATACTGTTAGTCATACGAATGTGTAATTATATCCTCGAAAATGAAACTTACACCATAGGTATGTAAAGAATTTTGCTTTAAATGTTATTAAATAATACAATCCATACAGGAATCCAAGGTGAATTGCTACTTGCGCCATTAAATCTGGCCATTTAATTTGAGGCTTAAACGGCTCTGAAGATTTAGTTTCGATTTTTCCATTAGTGTTGGAAGTATCTTTCTGATGAATCAATGTTGATACACTTACATCGTTATGCATGTGTCCATTATTATTACCGTTGCAGGTTTTCTGTGGTAAATTTATTTGTGCTTTAAGAGAATGTGGTGCCATAGTTCTAAATGAGGATATTAAGGAGAATTAAGGATTAAAATGGTTGACATTTACTATAGAAGAATTTGATCAACATCAAAAAAATAAGATTCATGTTATAAATGCTCCAAAGTTCTAGACAGTCAAAAAGAAAGCATTCTTACAAAAAGAAAAATTAAAGTTACAAGACAAACAAAGCATTATCTGAAATGCGTTAAGATCAGAGGTTATCTGTGCATTCAAAAATTCTTTTCAAAGTAAACATTGAAATGAATTTTGTTTTTAAATTCGTTGTTCTAAAATTAAGAGTGTTTGTTTATTATAAGTTTCTTAAACGTTGGGACACAAGTAGGTTCCTTTAATTCATTTAGACTAAGAATCAGTTAATACTTCCTAAAATACAAAGTTCTTACAAGAAAGAATCTTAAGGTATGTAATTTAATTAATATTTTAAAAGAAAACAAAAGGGAATCTTTGATCATAGCTATTCATGTCTAATTGCGTCCTGTTTGGTAAAATAGGTTTCCTTTTTAAGCAAACATTAATAGCCTAATCATGAAAAGTTAAAAGTTAAAATTTGATCCAATTGAATTAAACATCCGATTTTTATTCGGCAATAATGATTCATCACACTTAACTTTGAAGAATATAACTTTATTTACTCAATGAATGTAAACTAATTTGCGTAATAAACAAAAGTGTCTAATGTGAAGCACGTGAATATGTGACTCATCTTGTAGTATCACATTCATATATATGAATTGAGATGATAATTTAATTTGCTTATTTCTTCAATACTTTATAGTAATCCAGTGATAATTAATATTTGCAATGGAAATACACGTATAAACATTGATAAGAAATTAGCATTTTTGTTTTCATTTGAAAATTTCTCTCATTTTATTACTTTGTGCATTTATTGCATGCAATAAGGACCAAACTGAGTAATGCTGTAATTAAAGCTTAGCTTAAAACATTGCCAAAACCTTGATCACAGCAAACAATAACCTTGATTCTACTATCAACTTCTAGTCATAATTTCTTCCTATAACTGACCTAAGCAAATTTTTTTGTTTTCTTGCATGACATAAAATTTCTAAAGTGAAATTGGGGTTAATATTTTGTTCTGAATAAATAAATTGAATGTCAATACAATAAATTATTTAAATTTTAAATGAAAGATAGTTCATGTTGCATCATCGAGTTTGCATTAAAGTAAATAATTGTTTAAAGCATTAATTATGGGTTTTTGAAAAATAATGTAGGGAGTTTTGGGATTCCCCTATAAAATGTAGCTTTTGAGTTCTAATAATTGCTGAAGAGAATGTTATGCAAATCCCACTTATAAGGTTTGATTGACTAGAACTTAAGAATCTTTCAAATTTGAATGTCATTAAAATTTAAAACTTGCTTTTAGGAATCGCAAACCTCAACACATCGATGATAGAACTCTATAGAACATTTGTGAAGAGGCGCAGCTGGTAAGTTCTAATTTTTTATTTTTATTTTCCCCTTGATTGCGATCATTATTTGTGAACTTTAAATTACCCTGAAAACTCCAAAATAAAGATCATCAACCGAATTATACAACACAAAGTCAAAATAAATTATTTACTATAGTTTTTATGAGCTACAACTAATATGACAAGTAGAAAATTACTTCGATCATTTGAAAAACTAAACTATTCAATCTATAGTCTGTCAAACAAGCTGTTTAGAGTATCAGAAAATTTGTCAATTAAAGTTGTGTTGCTTCCTAATCAGCTTTGTTCTAAGAACAAATGAGTTATTATTTCTTTATCATGTTACAGCCACACGTTATTCGAAATTTTTCTTGCTTCCTATTGCATTTTTTTTGTTCTTAGAATGACTTTCTGTAATACAACACTAATCAATGTAAAAAGTAAAACGTGTATAAATACCAATTCTTCCGGACGGTAACGTCGACAAATAAATAATAATAATAACACAAAGTTTAAGTCTATAAGTTTAAAATATCACAAGCACTTCCACTCTCAATTAGGAAAAGCGATGATTTTTTTCGAAACTATTGCTTGATGTGATTCATTTGTGTATCTTTTGGGATTGAACATCAACAAACGGATATTTACATGCTGGGAGTCTCCTCACCTATTTAAGTATGTGATAACGAGTTAATGTTTTAAAATGTTCAGAAAACTGCTTGGTTGGATGTTGACACAATAAAATAAATCGATTGAGTCTATAACATTATCCAAATTATTACTGAATCACACAATCTGTGATTTATTATACACATTTGTTCTTTCTCACTGTCATAAATAATTTATTTTAACTTCCTAATTTGCTAATTTATGTTTTCTTTCAAATTATGTCAATAATTTTTCTTCTTTGATCTCAATTTTTCACAATCTTGCTTTAACTGACTTTTCCAATATTAATTGCACTTATTAATTTTATTTGAAATGTTACAAGCTTTTTATAATTTTTTAATAGAAGTCCTTTAAATTCAGCATTAATAATAATTTCGTTCCTTCTAGTTCAACGACAAAAATACGATTGACTTAAAGCTTACACATTTCCTTCTCTTTCATTCTTTTTTCACAGTGATGTGTCGTGTTTTTTCTGTTTTTCTATATTTCCTAGCATGTATTGCTATATAATTACACATTAATGTAGGCAATACAATCGCATGATATATTAATTAAAATACACAGGAACTGGCCATAAAATCACCACACTAGCACGAGGATACAATAAATTTCACCACAATTCATCAGCCTTTTTGGTGCATTAATCGATGAGTGTTTATGATTAATTATTTATTTATGGAAATTGTCGAGTTTTTACTCACGTGCGAGTAGTTTGTGGGGAAATTGACAGTTATTAACGGACTTTTTTGAATTTGAAATGTGGCTAAAGCTGAGCATTTTTGACAGTTTTTCGTGAATATTGTATTGAAGACTATCAGTTTGTCTGAATGTTTATCGAATATTTATAGGCACTAAAATGGTTCATTTCGGTTTATAGTTGTGGTAATTAAGGTAGAATTGGAATAAAAAAATATTAAAATCAGTCTTATTCATAATTCATCATGAATTTTTGAATTTCAAAAAACCGTTAAATTGAAATTTCTCAATTTAAACTTAATTAAGGCTGTTGAATCATGTAGTACTTCCAGACATTTAAGCAATTGTTAATTCATAGTCCAGTAAACCATATAAAAACCAGTTCAATAAAAAAGCGCTTTAAGCATTCGAATGAAGTTGCGGCAACTTTCTAATTTTTGACACGACACGCGAAAAAAGTGAAAAAAAAAAACTTGAGTCGGAAAAAGATTAATTAACAGGAGAAATGAGTGAAAATGTAATCCCAATTTCGAAGACTCCGAGTCAAGAGAAGGTGGCTTTTCTGCCAGGCAAGCTGGATTGGAACGAAAATGGTAAATTAACATAGAAATTCACGAAAAGTGAAAGCAACAAAAAAAAATTCCAACCTTATTTAATTGAATATCCATTAAAAATTTAGGATGGGGACCTTGTGAAGTACCAGAAGCATTTAAGGATATGCCATACCAGCCATTCAGTAAGAGTGATCGTTTGGGAAAGGTTAGCGATTGGGCTGGAACTGCACAGACTGATAAAAAATATTCGAACAAATATCAATCACAATTTGGATCCGGCGGCAGTCAATATTCATATTATCATGATGAAGACGAAACTACTTTCCATCTTGTTGATTCAGCACGAATCCAAAAGCCTCCTCATCAACGCGGTCGCTTCCGTGGAAATCAAAGAGGAAATCGGTGAGTTTTTGCGAATACGTTTTATACTTGACTGGATCTATTAATTGTTTAAAGTGGAAAATATTCCAGCAATCGTGGTGTACGCGGAGGCGTACAAGTTGGGAGTATGACATCATTAGGAAAGAGCGTTAAGACACGAGATCAACGTCGTGGAAATACAAGAAAATGGGGAATGCGAGGACATCCACAAAAGATTCGTGATGCATCAGTTACTGTTCGTCCAGATTGGGCTGCTATTGAAGATATGGACTTTCCACGTTTGCAGAAATTATCATTGCCTGGAATTAAGGAAGGTGATGATATTGCCTGTTATGGTACTCTAGAATACTACGATAAAACATACGATCGTGTCAACATTAAGAATGAGCGTGCATTGCAAGGAGTTGATAGAATATTCCATAAGGTTACAACAACTGATGATCCAGTCATTAGAAAGTTATCAAAGACGAGAGGAAATGTTTATGCTACGGATTCAATTTTAGCAACAATTATGTGCTGTACAAGATCAAATTATAGCTGGGATGTTGTTATTGAGAAGTTTGGCGATAAGCTGTTTATGGATAAACGTGACAATACTGAATTTGATTTGTTGACTGTTAATGAGACAGCTGTAGAGCCGCCAACAGACGATGGAAATAACTTGAACTCGCCAAGAAATCTCGCAATTGAAGCAACATTCATAAATCACAATTTCAGTCAGCAAGTATTGAAAGGTGGAGCAACTGAACAGAAATACAAGTTTGATAACTCAAATCCATTCTTGGATGATGAAGAAGGTGAAGTTGCATCTGTTGGATATAGATATCGTGCATGGAACTTGAATAATGGAATTGAATTGATTGCTAGATGTGAACATGATGCAGTCATGATCTCTCCAACGGGCGAGACACAATTTATTACGATTAAGGCACTAAATGAATGGGATTCAAAGTTGGCTAATGGAGTTGATTGGCGTCAAAAGCTTGATACACAACGCGGTGCCGTTCTTGCTAATGAATTAAGAAATAATGCTTGTAAATTGGCAAAATGGACTGTCCAAGCATTATTGGCTGGATCTGATCAAATTAAATTCGGCTATGTTTCTCGTGCTCACGTCCGCGATTCCTCCAAGCACGTCATTTTAGGAACACAACAATTTAAGCCACATGAATTTGCAACTCAAATTAATCTTAGTATGGATAATGCTTGGGGTATTTTGAGATGCATCGTTGACATTTGCATGAAACAAAAGGACGGCAAATATTTGATCATGAAAGATCCAAATAAGCCAGTCATTCGACTCTATGACATCCCAGATAATACTTTTGATTCCGATGAGAGTGATGATAGCAGCGAAGAAACTCCATTCAAACCTTTATATAATTATCAAGCAGGAACAACTGGAAGTAACGCAAAAGAATCCAAGAAGTAAAGTAAGTTGATTTGAACGGTTTTTGTAGAATTTGAATTTTTAACGGTTTTGTAAAATTTGAAAATTCAACTGTTTTTTTAAATTATAAACTACCGTTAAAAATCATCTTACAATTTTGGGATTTAAAGGATTTAAAGTAAAAATCGAACTAAATTTCTAGTTTAAGCATAATTAATGATATATAAAAAAATTTCACCACTTTTATATTAAACTTATTATTGGATACATAAATAAAGTAATGTTGCAGAAATATGTTGGTGGCTTGATATCTTTGACATCGTATTTATCACCACTAAACAGCAGATCTTAGCTTTTTGACTTGATAATAAACAGTTCCTTATTGTTACTTGTCATTTCACTTTTCAGGTATGACACAAATTCCTCTTCTTCTCCAATTAATTTTGGCTTATCCAGTTTAGAATCTAGATTATAATACTTGTCATTGACCTTCCTTAATGATATCCAGTGCCTACTTTTGATCAACGGTATTGTGATAAAGCCAAATGTGTAGTCTGTAGGCAAGTTCATGATATATCCATAAGATTCATCTATTTGTATCGATTCCTTTGTAATCTCACGTCTTTTATCATACCATATTACTGTTAAGTCTTTTGACTCTAGTGCCTTTATGATTGAATTTATATCGTAGTTTCCAATTCCGAGTACTGATTTATGTGGATTAATGTAATTGCTTGATAATTCGCTGCATATCACATCAAACTGCTGTTTTGTGAATGACTTGCCTGAAATAAGTTGATATTTATAGATCCAGGATAAAACTTACTTATCACGTGAATTTAATTATATTTAACTAAAATAAGATTTCTTTTGAATTACTTACATTGCATAAGATTGTTAAGCGCATGAATAGCACAGTACATTAGGCTTTGTCTTTCATGATAAATTGCACTCATTATTGTGGCTGGATTGTATTACTCTGCATGTAAAGTCTTGGTGCTACAAAATATTTACAAAACTGGTCTAGTAAGAATGCTAATTGTTGTTATTTGACTGACTGTCTGAAATTTAAATTATATTTTACCGTTAGTGCATCAGGTGACAACCCTAAAGTTATAATAATAGTGCAACCGTCATCAAAGAAAGTTGAAAACCCTAAAAAAATTGTAAGAAAGAAAAATAAATGAAGTGATTTTGCTAAAATTAACTTAATTAACGATAAAGTGATAAAGAAAACTTAATATAAACAGTTATTGACTGATAAGAAAAGCGTATCCAGTCGAGAAAAGCTTCCAAAACAGTTGAATTAAAGTGAAATGACAAAAAATTGAAAATCTGAAGAAAAAGTGACGAAAAACGAGATTTAATCATCAAAATATTTGTAAGTTATAGTACATTGACTTATTCTCGGCTGAAAGATTGTGCAAAAGTATTGAAATAATCAAAAATAAATAAGTCTCTCGAGTTTTCCCTCTTTGCCAACTTTCCATTTTTCTATTCATATTTTGACTTACAAAAAGTGCCAGCGTATAGGAAATTGTTACACAATTTGATATTTTGTTTTCATAGCTAGTACAGTGGCTTATAAAATGTCTAAATCAGCTGTCAAAATCATTTTAAAGATGACGAAATCAAACTTAAGGATTGTTTTGTGATTTCACAATATTGCACTATCTCTTGTATTTATAATGCGTGGATTATCATGTATTAATTTCATTCTATACGGAGAGCTCAAACTTAAAAATTTTAAAATTATATTGAAATGTCAGTTAAAAATTATTTTTGAAGTTTTTCATCTTCCCAATAATAAATTCAAATCCTACAAAATTACAGATATTTTGAAATGCAAACTTATTGAACACAACAATCAATAGACGATAGAAAAATGGAACAGACAGAACTTAACAAGATTAATACACAATTTCAAGAATTGCAATTGCCATCAGTAATTGTCGACTATTCAAGCATTCGCAGTAAGACAGTGCTAGTAAGTCCAACAGAGGAGCAGTATGAACTACTGCAGAAGAGATTAAAAGAGCGAATTGCAGAAAGTCGAGGTGAAACAATTTATGAGCTTGGAGTGGGCGAAGATGCAAGTGACAATGGATTGGACAGTGAAGAATATTTAGCCTCATTAGCTACATTGCAGTCATTAGCTGCAACTTTAAATGCAGATTGTGTTGAACTTCGGCAAAGGAAAGGAGAAAAAGGAACGACAGGTCAATATTTGATTAGACAGCGAGTAGATGAGTCTGATTTTATGGAAATTCGTGTCGCAGTCGTTGGCAATGTCGATGCTGGAAAAAGTACATTGTTGGGTGTTTTGACACACGGAGAACTTGATAATGGCAGAGGATTTGCAAGACAGCGACTGTTTCGTCACAAGCATGAAATGGAATCTGGACGAACGTCATCCGTTGGAAATGATATTTTGGTGAGCATTTAAAAAGTTCCTTGATTATTACATGATTTTAGAAATCAAACATCGTTGAAAATAGAAACTGATAAAACCGCTAAAATTTTTAAACTATCCCAAACTGTCCCAAACCTATAAAAATTCAAATTCTATAACCGCTATAATATTCAAATTTTACAAAACCGTTAAAAATTCAAATGCAATGTTTTGAATAGTTTCTAATAGTTATTTTCTCATCCATCTTCTTTTAGGGCTTTGACTCGCTTGGCAATGTCGTGAATCGTGCTGAGCACGGTCATCTCGATTGGGTAAAGATATGCGAGCAATCATCCAAAGTTATCACATTTATTGATCTTGCTGGACACGAAAAGTATTTAAAGACAACAGTGTTTGGAATGACTGGACATGCACCAGATTTCGGTATGTTAATGATTGGTGCCAATTCTGGTATCATTGGAATGACAAAGGAGCATTTGGGATTATCACTAGCATTAAGTGTGCCACTTTTTGTTGTCATTACAAAGATTGATATGTGTCCAGTGAACATTCTTCAAGATACATTAAAGCTTCTCGTTAAGATTTTAAAATCTCAGGGATGTCGAAAAGTTCCAGTTATGGTACGAACAGCAGATGAAGTAGTATTGTCAGCCACAAACTTTGTATCCGAGAGACTATGTCCAATCTTCCAAGTATCAAATGTGACTGGTGAAAATTTGGAATTACTTAAAATGTTTTTGAATTTATTGACAACTCGCGTGACTGGATTGGACGATTTACCAGCTGAATTTCAAATTGATGATTCTTATTCAGTGCCGGGTGTTGGAACTGTTGTTAGTGGAACATGTCTACAAGGTGTCATTCGCCTTAATGATGTGTTAATGCTTGGACCAGATTTACTCGGACACTTCCAACCGATTCCAGTTAAAAGCATTCATCGAAAGCGTATGAATGTGCGGGAAGTAAGAAGTGGGCAAACAGCATCATTTGCATTGAAAAAGATCAAAAGATCTCAAATCCGTAAAGGAATGGTTATGGTCAGTCAGGAAATTAATCCACAAGCTTGTTGGGAATTTGAAGGTGAAATTCTTGTTCTGCATCATCCAACAACCATATCACAGCGATATCAAGCAATGGTTCATTGTGGTTCCATTCGTCAAACAGCTTCCATTCTTACAATGAATAAGGACTGCCTGAGAACTGGTGATAAAGCAACTGTCAAGTTCCGATTTATTAAACATCCAGAATATATCAAAATTGGTCAACGAATGGTCTTCCGCGAAGGTCGTACAAAAGCTGTCGGAAATGTCCTTAAGCCATTACCTCACACGCCGTCATCAAATGCAAATCGCACAAAGCCAGCAAAAATGCAATCTCGCAATACACAAAGTCAAAGCTATAATAATCAGCAGAATCAAAATCCGAATGTTGGTACGAATGACGTTAAGGCTAATTTAGAATCAGTGCTTGAAATGTCTACAGACAAGCGAAACGTCAAGACACGAGGAGGAAAACGAAAACGATTTAATGCGCCAACACAGTCGTCAGATGTGACGGAATCAAGCTCTACTACTCAGTAAACAACCTTTTTCATTGATTTTTCCTGAAAAATTACATTTTCGGGGTCCTTGGTTTGAATAATTTTTGGAATTTGATTTTTTGTAGCTTAATATTCATGCACAACTCGATTTTAGGTTCCAAGCAGTTGTTCAAACTCAGGATCTCCAATAAATCCTTTTGTTTTTTGTTTGAGACAAAAATATATTTTATTTAAGTAATAAAAGGATATTTTCAAGCATAAATCACTTCATTTGTTTTTTCTCTAATTCACTTTTCGCCTTCTGCATTTCCTCAGCTATATTCTTTTGAAATTTATCTAGAAGTGACTTAAGTTTATCGGAATCAGCAAATCTACTCAAATTATTCTCTTCTGTAATTGCTTTTGTTCGATAAAACACAGACACTACCATTTGTGCTGCTCTTCTCATAACATAAGAGTCTGATAGCTTCTCGGCTATTTGATCTGCGTTTCTGCTTAATAATAACTGGAGGATTCGCCTTACAACCATGACTTAATTATCTTTAGAAATTGTATTGTTTGTACTTATTAATTAATTCTTGTTTTGAGACCAACTGCTTCTTTAGACTTTCTAGATGTTCGAGTTGTTGCGATTTAGACTGATCGATACCTAAAAATATTTTTGGAAGTGCCATAATTAATGAAGAAACTTTCCAAAATGATTACGAAATCAAAAAATAATAAATTACTTACCAGGAATTGATTTAACTAATGTTCTAGCCTCGTCTAGTCGCTTTTGAAATTCAATAATCTTCTGTGATACTTCTTGCGACTCACTGTGAAAATAAATCGTAATAAAGCTTTATTTATAGAAATATTAATTTTGTTGTTGTTTATTTTTTGTTTACATGCTCTTTGTCTCGACAATTGATGAATTATATCTCTCAAATTTGCGTATTATTTCAGATAAGACAGATATGATATCGATTTGTTGGATGGTTTCTTCTGTATTACTCATATTATGATCAGTTTTATGTCAACAAAATTAAAGAATTGAAAATAAAATCAGATTTTGAATATTTTCGATGACTTGATTTGAATTTTACAAAACCGTTAAAAGAATTTTGTAAATTTGAATTTTACAAAACCGTTAGAGTAGTTAAGTTGATGTAAAGCAATTAGAATTGATTACGTAAAAGAACACATGGATGAGAACAACAAACTTTATTTTATTTCGATTCAAAACAAAAGTTTAAAGACATAATGATTTTGAAAAAAAAATCATTAATTTGGAGGGGGGGGGGGGGGGGGGGGGGGGGGGTCAGCGAGAAAAGAACAATAGAAATTCCTTTAAATCCATTGTTTTTGAAAAATGACCGTTAAATTCGGACGTCATAAGTGAACGACCGCTTTTCGTTATCATCACAAATAGCTTTATTGAGCTTTATTATATCTTTCTTTTGACAAAATTACACCTTTGCAGTTACAGTAGTAAAAGTAAATGAAGCTCTCGATGAAATATCACAGAACTTTTCCATATAAGGCAATTCTCTAATTTATACTCGTGCAGTTTGAGACTCATCAGGTCTTCGCAAAATCATGATAACATAATACAATAAAAAAAAACATTGTTTTATCATATAGGGCTCAAATTTCCAAACACTTCGATCATGTGATTCAAGAAGCTGTTAATATTAGTCGTTTTTATTAATTAAAGCGCAAGCTGGTTAAAACTATTTCTTTCTCAAATTTCGATTCTGCGGTTGATCGAGAACCTTTTAATTGTTAATTCAGAGGTTTTGAAACCGTACAATTTGAAATCATTTGTGTGAATTTAGAATTTGAATTTTTTTCAACCGTTACATTTTAAAAATTGAAATTAAACTTAAATGTGAATAGTAACCATTTAAAAAAACCAGATCTGAATTAGGTTTTAAATAAAACAGCATTTTTGATATCGTTTAACATACAATTGATAGGATACGATAACAACTTCCTCTTTTCTAATCCAAAAACATAAAACACGTAAAGTATTACACAAAAGAGTAAGATTATCGACCTACAGCATCAACCGCTTAAAAAATAAAACAATTAACTCTGTGAAATTTGTCGTTTCTTTCAACATTTTAAGGAAATAAAAATAGGAATTTGTTAAAAAAGCAATAGAAAGAAGATCTTCCACTACTATTTAATAGATATCCACTATTCATCTTATTAATGATAATCGAATCTATAATGAGAAAATGAGCAAATAGAATTTTAAGTGGGAACAAGTTCCCAAAAATTAAATTTTTTTTTTCAACGCACACAATTGTCATTAAGAATTTGATTAATTGTTTTACATTTTTTTGTGTATGATGGGTTAAGTTGAGAAGTTTGATCCAATAGTGCGCATTTACCAGATCATTCTCATTTCATTCATGAAATTTGCAGAGTACAAACCTATCACCGGTCAAATTAGGCAAGTAAATATTGCGAATATATACTAAACCTCTTATAATCCCTAATTATCGATTCCATTGGAATTAAACCTCAATTTCCGCTCAATAAATCAGCACAAAACAACAATGAAGCTTAATTGATCGAGAAATTAAATCTCTTCATCCTTTATTGATAGTAATTAAGACAATCAGACATTACTACAATACACAAACAAGATAGAATGAGAATTTGTGAACGGAGCGGCACTAATAAAAGTTGAAAGCGAATGAAAAAAAAAAGATCTTAAATACTGAGAAATTCCAGTAGCCTCTGTCAATGAATGGCTTGTATCATGTGTTTGCATACCATCTTGATCAATAAATTAACATATTGGGTGGTTTGATATGTTTTTGGATTCAGTTCAAGAGGAATTAATTGGAGTAGATTTTTTTTTGAAGTGTGGACGGATTATTAGATGACATAGGTTGTTGCTATGGATAATAAGAGTAATTAACAGTTGAAGAGCATTTAGAGAAGCTTTTAAAACTTTGCAATTACCAACGTAAAATCAACATTCATCTGACCACATAAATATGCGCTCCAAAATCATAAATACTCACCAGATAATCCATCTACTCAACAAAATAAAGCGACAAAAATAAAGAATAAAAGGAACGAGATAAAAGAAAGAAATGAAGAGTTCGAGAGAAAAGAGTAGCGAGCATTAAATTGTAAGGTAATTAATTATTGATTATTTAGTCATTTCAATGACTTTAGGAGATGTATTTTAATTTACCACCAACACAAAAATCTCATCCTCGACTCTTTATTCTTGTATCACGATGTTTAATTAAATCTTTATTTAGATTTTGTTATTAAAAAGATTCGACGTTATGATTTGATTAAACTTTACTGAATTAATAAGGCATAATTAATAAGTTGTTAATTACCATTTTATTCAAGTTTTCAGTAAATTAGAATTTTGATTCATTTGTGGATTCATTGATGTTTTAATATATTAAAGTATTTTTGAGATTTTTAATAAGGTAATTTACTTGAAAATACACAAGTCGAGTTCAATATTGAAAATATGAATGGAATTCATCATGATTTAAGGAGGCTTGAAATTTATTTGATAATTAGTTGAAATTGACAATTTGGAAATTGATCACGTATAATTTGAAATTGTGAATAAATAGAATTTTCTTTTGTAATTCTTTTTATTATTGGAATTGAAATACAGTCCACTGGAAAATCAACTTGCTATCGTTTTTCATGGTCCTTCGAACCTTGCGATTGGAACAGTTGGAATCTTTAGAAGTTGGAAGACATTGAGAAAAAAAAGTTGAAGAAATAGAGAAATTGAGAAATTTGCAACGCAACGCAAGTACCCTTTGAAATTGAAATGGAATAATTAAAGTGAAATATCAACAAATTGAAGATTGGACAGCACATCATAAACGCTGAAATTTCAGCATCTATAATTGAAATTGAATTATTGAAGTTTGGTCAAGAAAAGAAATCAGTGTATTGGAGTTGATTGAACTGGTTCAAGGGCTAGATTAATATTATACTTGTTAAAATCAAGATAATTTGAAAACGAGCGTGAACCCGACGCAGGAGCGCAGATTATCATCTCTAAGAAGCAGAATTTAAGTATTTGACAATGGCACGAGCAAAAAATGGAATAAAAAAAAAATTCGATCCATTATTGATGCATATGAAATTTTGATGGAAATACATGAACCAGGAATTGATTATGAAGACATCGATGATATGAGTACAGCTTATAACATCCTAGATAATTATTTAATAAAATTTATGCAACATTACAATGATTATCAAAACTTAAAGAAGGATGATGTTGATCTAGACAGTGAATTTTTTTCAACGTTCAAAAAGCAAATAACATCGAAGCATCTAGGTTTTAAATTATTGTTTAATAAAATAAAAACAAAATCAGAAAGACAGTTCGATGTTACAATTCGAGAAAATGAAGATCGACGCCATCAAGTAAGAAAAGTCAAGTTACCAGAAATCAAATTGCCAGAATTTGATGGAAGTTTCGACAAATGGTTAACTTTCCGTGATACTTTCGGATCATTAGTACACACGAATTCATCATTCATATAAAGATAGAACCTGCATCTCAAAACATCCTCAATAATTATCAAGTGACAGATGACACGTATGAAAATGCTTGGGAAGCATTATGTTCCAGATTTGATGATCGTAGAGCAATGTTATTAGAATATACAGATTCATTGTTTAAAGTTGAGAAAATTTACAAGACTCAAGATATATTGAAGTTGGTGATCATGAGTTTATGAATTTGATGTACGAAAAGATGATCAGAGATAGACTTGATAAATTTACCAGAAGAGAATGGGACTTGCACATTAATACTCATAAACCAACATTTCATGAGTTATGTAAATTTTTGGAAGGAAGACATAAGTCAGTAAAATATACGGCTAGTGAATCATCAATTCCAACATCTTCGAAATATCAACAAGAGAATAAGCAAAATAGGAAAACTTTCTTGTCAAACAACAAACCTGTTAGTCTTGTATGCTCAATTTGTTCACAAAATCAATTGAACAGTAACTGTCCATCAGTTCTCAGAGATAACATTGACAAAAGATTTGATATAGTTTCGAAGCTAAAACTATGTATGAATTGTTTAAGACCTGGACATATTGCAAAGAAATGCATAAGTTCAAAAAATTGCAATACATGTGGAAATAGACATCATACGACACTTCATCGAGTTAAAGCATCAGACGAAGAAGTTTTCGAAAAACCATCAACAAGTAGTTCATCAGACAAAAGATTAGTGATAAACAATAAAGCATTACTGCCATCAACTCAAACTGTACTATCAACAGTAAAAATATTGATTTGTGACAAAGAAGGTAAATGGCAAGTCATAAAAGCTGTTATGGATTCTGGTAGCAATGGACATGTCATCACAGAAGCAACAGCAAAACGAATGGGCTTATCTCTTAGAAAAATTAATAGAGAATAAAGGGAATCAATAATATTCCTACTGATGTAAAATACGAAGCTGTCGCAACGATTAAGTCAAGATATCCAAGATATGGTAATTTCAAAAATACCATAACTCTCGATATTTTTCCTGTAATTACAGATCAGTTACCTACTCATTATTTTGAAACTAAGAAGTTTCAAATACCAAATGAAATTTTTATGGCTGATCCAGAATTTAACGTTCCAAGTGATATTGACATGTTGATTGGTTGCATGATATTTTGGGATGCTGTATTGAAAGACAGACATCAAATATCTAACAATGGATTATTAATTCATACAAAGTTTGGATGGATGTTTAGCGAAAATGCAGAATGTAATGAAAACTTAAAGACAACAGTATTATCAATGTCACAACTGCCATCACTTGAAAAACAACTGGAGAAGTTCTGGATGATTGAACAATGTGAAAATAAAGACAGACTGTTGAGTGAAGATCAAAAAACATGTGAAGAGATATTTAGGGCCACAACAGTTTGAGACGGAAGTGGAAGATATGTGGATGATCTTCCATTTAAATCAAATTACACCAATCTTGGCAATAAC